TAAACTTAGCCGAATAGCCATGTCCTACATCATTAGCAAAACTTCAGACATGTCCTCTCCCCTCACTAATACAACTTCAGACATGTCCTCTCCCCTCACTAATACAACTTCAGACATGTCCTCTCCCCTCACTAATACAACTACAAACAAATCTTCCACACACTTTGATCAGTTTATTAACAAAATGAAATATATTTTATTTCACATACAACATTCCTATCAATTCATTAGTATATAAGAACAAGCCTATGTTTAACAATCTCCAGTTGTGTATTTCTCCACAGGTGCCTGCAATCAGTGTTCACGATGCTTAGACGGGTCTTATGGTAGAAAAGTAACATATTCCACATCGTGACTGTTTAGTATTTAGTGCTATTTCCAAGAACCAGTTTTGGAACTTGGGCCAATTTAAAATAAAAAAATAAAAAACCCACCTCAATAGAATTTCAAACTAAGGACCACTAGACTGGCCAGCAAGTACTACAGCACTGAAAAATGACTAGAGTAAATCTTCGTCTTCTCTTTCTTCCTTCTCCTCCATCTTCTTCATCTTCTTCTTCCTGCACCTCCTTCTCACCCTTCTTTATAATATTCACCGGCTGTAAAATCGGCAGAAGGTTCTGGTTGTTCATGCATCCCCCGGGCTTAGTCTTGTTCCAAACCTTGATGTTTTGAATGCACATCCATTTTATGGTTCTGGCTTATTTATATGCAGACTGCTGGTTCCTTGCTTCTCAGGCAGATGCACTCTGACTTTAAAAGAAACACCTCTAATTAGTCAATATTTACCACATGCATGTGAAGTGGGGGCTATTCCTTTTTTTTTCTGTGTGTCCACAATAGAGGGTATGAGTAAAGGAAAGTGTTTAAAATAGAAACCTTCTGCAAAAGAAAGAGATGAGAGTGACATTCAACAGAAGACCTGCAACACAAAGATGATGTGTAGATGATGTAGAGTCTATTCTCATTGTTTACTTGTGTAGAAAACCAGGCCAACCTCTCCTCAGTATGCTCATATCTCTTCACTGACTCAGACCGGGAGACACTGTCACTTTATTACAAGGCTATCAATGTGAGGGAGTCGCCGTGGCGGAGCGGTTATACGCTCGTCGTGGATCGGAAGGGCATAGGTTTGCTCCCAGTGGGTACCGGGTGCAGTCCCAGGTAGTAAAGGCAGGTGGTTTGCTGCTGACCACATCGCCCTATATGCCTAAAGGTGTGGAAAAGGGTCCTTTACTTTTTACTTTTACTATCAATGTGATGACCATCAAACTCAATACAAGATGTTACAAAAATATATTGTTCTTTTAGTGTTTATGAAAACTGTTTTTAACATTTTCCATTTTCCTCCGATTCTGTCTGTGCTATACTTTATATATCTTTCTCACTCTATCCTTAACCTCTCCTCCTCCATTCACCTCTTACTCTTTAATCAGTCTCACTATTTCTCATCTTTATCTAAGATCCAAACAACTCAGTGCCTAGTTTGAGCATCAAATAACAGCGTTTGATTTAAACCGACAATCCTCAGCACCTGTTAAAGTGTTGAACTGTGGTGCCCTTATGCAAAATGAAAGAGTATATCTGCAATATGAATTGGCTCACAAACAGCATCCTGTCTTAAAAGCTGAGGAATTTTAACCATCTTATATGTCACAGTGACCTGAAGAGAATGGTGATGGAAGGTACAGTTCCCTGAAAATGAGGCAAAGGGAGACCTTCATGAAGTTAAACTACAAGTAATTGAAGAGGCATTGGTTATGAAAGCACACAGGGCTGGAAAATAATCTAGAGAAAGAGAAAGACTTTCAGGTGTGCCATGAAGAGAGCGAGGTTCTGTAATGGACCTGCTGACTGATGATGATCTGCAATATCCTTCAGTTAATCCTTGGCATATCCTACAGAGACAACATTATTAAAAAATGAAGTTTCAAGAACATTATTCACCACATCAGCAACTGCCTGAGAGGCCAGGAACCAACAGTCTGCATGCAAATGAGTCATACCTAGGAAACGGATGTGCAAGCAACACTCAGTTTCTGGAACAGGACTAAAGTCCAGTAGTGGATGAATGACCAGAACTTTCCACTGTAGTTTAGAGCCGGTGAACATGAACAAGAAATAGAAGAAGAAGAAGAAGAAGCAACTACATATCCCTTCAACAACTGTATAAAGAAATACAACAGAAAAGTAGCAGACATGGATTAATAACATTTAGTGGTCTTTCTAAATACTACAAGGCTCAGTATAATGGGACGATGATGCAGATAAACAAAGACCTGGATTTACAATTTGGCTAATGAGTTGGGACTCAAATGTGAAAACATCGCCCAACACATTTGATTCTCACAAATGGAAAGATCTGATGTAAAAGCCACCACTAACTATGTGACACAATGACATATAGTGTTGAAAGACTATAAAAAAGACTGACACAAAGAAAAATCTACAAAACAATATTTATGCCAAATAAATCTTATGTATTCTTATTTCAGAATTAATTTTCTTTTTTAAAAATAAGAATACAGAAGGCAAAGTATTTACAAAGCACTAGGACGTTTTTGTTAGAAATTTAAGAAAAATTAAACCTATTATCTAACAGAATATTGAACACTAATATCAAATCAGTAACAATTATACCCAAAAAAAAAAAAAAAAAAAAAACTGGGGGAAAAAAAAAGGGGGGGGGGGGGGGGGGGGGGGGGGGGGGGGTTGGCTGCAATCGAGCTGATTGCAAGAAATTCTAATTATATCACACATAACATATTAGTAACAATTATTATTTAGTAATCATAGAAATGAGATGTCTGAGAAGGTTTGCAGAAGAGATAACATCAAGATTGAGGTCAAAAGAGAAAAAGTCGACACAGAACCAATTCAAAATTACATACAAAGACAGCAAATCAAATGGTCTGCCCACTTAGAATGCCTACTGACACCATAGCTCACATGGGATACACCAAAGAGAAGGACATAGAACACAACACAGATAAAGAACAAGATTGAAAAATAACATCAGAGAAAGACTTCAACAGCATCACAGCACAATGTGTGCCTGTGTTTGAGGTGATAAGAAGAACAAGAAACAAAACCTTATATCTCCATTGATACCCAAAGTTGTAAAAGAGGAAGTGAAGAAGAAGATCAAATCAGTAGTTACACTGACAAGAAACATAAATAATAGCTACAAAAATTACTAAGCAACTAAAAATAACTGGTGCCTGTGCAGAATATGATAAAAATGGTAAGAGAGGATCATAAATCTGATGCTTGGGAAAGAACTACACACATTCTGGTGAATAAAGGAATGAGGAAAAAAAGACGGTGCTGAAAAGGACACACTCAGCAAACCGGATTTAAAAAAAAAAAAAACTAAAGGAAAAAAAAAATTTTGAAAAAAAATTAGAAGATGATTTCTTATGTGAATGGAAACAGTCAGCCCACTGTTTATCAAGAATACACTTCAATGTAGTCACAAAGTTTGGGGGGAGGGGACTGAGTGGTCTTGAGGCATGGCATCCACTTCGAGTGCTGGAGGTCCCGGATTCAGGCCCTTATGAAGGTTGGGATTTTTTTCATGTGGACTTCTAGTAATTTCCCCTGCTCTCTGGGTAGTAAGATCGGACGCCCGAGTGTATTGTTGTGCTCGTAAAAAGTCCCATGGCAGTTGGAAATATAAATGGTACTGCTTGGGCAAAATTTGGAGTTAAAAATCTACCCAAAGTATTTCAGGTCCTCGCCGGTGCTACAGAGTTCGTGCACTGCGTTGATATTCTCGGTCTCAGGCTTGAGATAGAAGTAAAATGTAGCACTTATGGGTTACTACCCTTGTGCCATGATGCCTATCCGTTGTATAAACCATAAACGACAAAGTTTATGTACAGGGAAGTTCAGAACACTGCATATTTTTTTTTCCACTGGTTGTGTCAAGTCTATCTTCATTAACAATGGCTTGGAATTCTAATGACTTCAGAGCTATATATCTCATGCCCATCCTACAGGAACTGCTCAGCTTTGTTTGGTAGTGGCTCACTAAACAACTTCAAATCTGAAACTAAAAATGTTTTAAAGAAATCAGCAGGCGAATCAGGATAGTTTTTCCTCTGCATGACTGCAATCCACTGAATGAACACCTCAAGGATGAGAATCAAACAGGTACAAATCCTGAAAAATTCTGTTTAACCATATAAGAGTTCTACTGGGGCCCCATATAGTTACATAGTAAACTACACGTTCAGACTAGTTGGTTAGTTAGAAATGTTCAACCCAACCAGGACCACACAACAAGAAATAAACACCTGGTGGCATACAGTGCTACCATTCCGATGAGTATTCCAGAGACCTTGTTAAACCTTTTAGTTATATATGACATCATACAGAGCGATAAACACCCCGTGACACAAAGTGCCACCATGAGGATCATCCGTGGAGAGGCCCCGGAAACCGTGTTTAACCGCTGGGCTATATTGCAGCCTCTAGCAACAGCCAGGGCGGGGCTGCAAAATAACTAAAAATTGCATCCCTCAAGGGGGATCACGATGATTTATAAGGCAAATAATTGACTGACTGACTGACTTTCTACCCCGCTAGGACATCACACAAGCGACAAACACCCGATGACACAAAGTGCCACCATGTGGATGAGGATCGCCGTGGAGAGGTCCCAGAAACCACGTTCAGACAATTGGCCACATTTATGGCCTGCCTATATTGCGGCCCCTGGCAAAAGCCAGGGTGGGGCTTCAAATAAAAAAAAATCTCATCCTAAAAAGGACGAAACACCTATGTACTAAATATGCAGTTAATTTTTGTAAAGCAGTAGTCAATTTGTTACTAGTTTTGTCCTAAGATGGCAGATATGTAAAAATTAACATGGCTTTCTCTGCCGTGTATATGCTGGACACTCTTGCAACAAATTAAAACATCTCAGACCAGTCAGTAGACTGAATAGTATCTGACAATTATGCATCAATGACGTGAAATTCAAAGGTGCACATCGGTCACACTTGGATAGCATTTCTCCTCTTTATCAGTGTCGCTAGTCTCCCTTGGGGTAATGGATCATAGAGTTCCATCCCTTGAGGCATGCTGACATTGGCTTGCTTGTAGTAAATAACATCAGAGACCTGTGCACAGAACGTGAAGGAATAATCTCAGACTGAAACAGAGACTAGTAATAGTATCATCAACACCCACATGCCATGGTGATAAAGTTTGGAAGGTCAGGGTTTGGCCTCTTACATGGTTGTCAGTCTTGATTAAAGTTTCCACTGCATGGTTTACTGGGCTCCAATTCTGCAGAGAAAGAGAGAGGGGGAGGGGGGAGAACGCATGCAAGCTCTCACACACACACACACAAAACCCACTGCACCCTAACAATCCTGCTTGCTGGCAGGGCCACTGTAGGTACAGGAAAAGCAATGGACCAAGCCAACGTTCTCAATGCTCTAAAGGAGGCAGGACGAGATGCTTTAAAAGATTACGCTGAATCTGCAACACTCTAAAGACTTCAAGAACTTCAGGTCAAAAGAGGTGTTGCCAAACATGAACACTATACAGGTAGCCAAAGAAGAATAGTAAACCAACACAGAACTGGTGCTATCAGATGCCACATGCTAAGGGATATACTGAAGATAGCATCCAAGTGTTTATGGACTTGTGCAATGTGCAATGAGAATAATATGTCAATGAACTAACTAACTAATTAACCAACTAGCTAATCCTTCAGTAATGGTGACTTAATAAGGCATTTGCTAAAATGGACATGTTAGGCCAAAAGGTGCATATCACAGCCTAGTTGTAAACCATAGGGCACTGTGGAAAACACCAGACTCAGTGCACTGAGTTTTCTCATCTATAGCTCAGTCTCTCTCTGCAGAATGGCTAGCTGTCCGCCGAGAGCATCGCACAAAACATGATCACTGTAGCTCCAAAGACAATCCTTAGGGATCTCTGTAAAACTGCACTGTTGAACCAAATAGTGCTGTTGTGAAATGAACCCACGATCTTCAAAGTGCAAAGCAAATGGCTTGACAGTTTCACCACGGAGAAACAAGTAAGCAGAACACCTTATAAGTACTGAGATTTGTGACTGTTAATGTTTTCACACACAAACAAAAAATTAATGAATGAAAAAAAAAAAATGCACGCACACACACAAAGAAACACATCTAGAGATGCATAAACAGGAAGATGTCAGTAATATATTATTCAGAAAGAAAAAAAAAAACACCATTTTATGTGCTGCTTGGAGCTGGGGTGGCACAGTGATAGTACACTTGCCCTCAAGGCAGTGTCCGGGGTTCAAGCCCCAGCAGAGATCAGATTACTTTTACCAACCAGTATGGCTTGATTGAGTCTGTCAAAATGAGTACCTGATAACTTTAAGAATTTTCTGCAAGTTGTCTGGGATGGAAAGATACTGAGGAAGGGCACTGACTATATCATATTATACACTCCAAGGATCAACAATCCTCTACTCCATCCCCCAACAGTAGTATCTGCTACAGGGTCCCGCTGTATGGAAACACTTGATCGCGTTTAACCTGCTGCGAAAGATCTTTCTGCAAGCAGCATTCAATTATATTTATGGTCTGGTTTATTTGTGCCACATTTACTGGCTTACATCTGTGTATATGTGCTAGAATTGATGGCTAGGTGTCCCTATCCAAATGTACTGCCCATCCCTACATGGTCCAATTTTGATCCTGTTTTGTCTGCTTCTCTTGCTGGTTAAGCCTCCTTCGTTCTGGTTAAGACTCCTGCCTTCTAGTTGTGAAAGGTGTTCATGTTTTTATCCGGGTGAGGGACCTTTGTGTTGTTTATCCGTGTCTCCTGTTATGTGGTCCTGTAACTATACAGTCCTGTCAAGCATCCATGCTTCTCACAGCAAATACAGTGCAAGAACAAAGCTGTCACTGCCACAAACACCCTACAACACCAATATGACTGTTTTCAGATTTTAAATATTTAAAGTTCTGAAAATACTTAAATCAGTTGTTGATGGACAGAAACAAAAGTCTAAAAGCCAGATTGTTTTTATCTTAAGGATCTTATACAGGTCATCCTTCAATGATATTTGGTTTAGGCAACAGACAATGAAATGGAAGAGAAGGTCTAAAGATGACTGTAAATGAGATGGATTAGAGCAGTATTTCCAAATGTGGGGCCAGGCCCCACAGGGAGGTGAAAATTTGATTGTTACAGTGGGCAATTTGATTGTTAACATAGGCAATTTGAAGTTGGAGGGGGGGGGGAATTTGAAGGTGGAGTGGGGGCAATTTGAATGTTGGGGGGGGGGGGGGGGGGAATTGGATTGTTAACTGGGCAATTTTATTGTTAAGGGAAGCAATTAGAAAATGGACTCGTCCAGAAATTTACGTATTTTAGAAAGCCTTGAGTGGGGCATGGCACAAACAAGTCTGGAAACACTGGATTACAGCAACTGGCCCCTCAGTGGGTGATGTGGTCTACATTACACCAGCCATTGTGGAGCCAAGGTCTATTTGAAATTTTTTTTACCTGATGGAGATTTAAACCCAAGACCTTTATCTAGCAGACAGGCATCTAGCCATTATGCTATGGCAGCTCCCAGTAAATCAGATGATTTAACTTTATTATGGGGCAAAACACTTACTTTGCTCTCATTGGCCAAGATTTGTTTCCACATGTGTGATCTAATGGCTCCATTACCATCCTCATGCAATATGTAGATAAACCTGTTGACATGGTGGACAGCTATCAGATACAACACTGGAGACCAGACAGACTGGACACCCTTGGTAATGATCGCTGACAGATAGAGCTGCAGAAGTTCCACATCCTGCTCTTCTGGCTGGAGGTAGTTTTCTAGAGGTATCAACATCTGTAGACAAATGTCAACAACTGAAACATACTTGCAAGTAGTTCTTATCCTTCAATCAAATTCCTGTTGTGTGATTAAATGTCACATAAAGCTCACATTCTTCTGACGGAGAAGCGCATTTGGGAGCATACTAGCCTTATCCTAGGAAGAGGAAATGTAACCTGAAAACCTCATGTTATGGCAGGGCAGACCAGGTCATTGGCCTTGGCTGGCAGCTGGTCTAGGAGCGAAGCTCTGACAGACGGACAGATTGAGCACTGCTCTTCTGATCCAGCAGCTTCTGCAGCCTGCTTTGTTCCAAACGTACTGGTGTTATCTTTCCTTTGGAGTAAACAAGCAGGTTGAGAAAAGAATCATGATGCATGGGCAAAATATGGTCTTTACAATAATGCCCAGGCTTTGTGCTTTGGAGAGGATAGCCATGGGCTGTGAGTCCCATGCCTCCTCATAGCGCAGTATAACACTATCGTCTGGAAAGACAGAAAAGTGCCAATCAATCAGGGCTCACATTCTATTTTCTCTACTTTGCTGTCAGCAGCTCTGACTTCTCTCAACATTCACTTTAGCACTTCTCTTGGATGTCCTCTTTTCCTGAATGCCTTTTCTCCCCATTTAACTCTTTCTGTCCCAATCAACGCACCATGTGCGACTGGATATTATCCATGTGCACCCCGCAGTAAATTATCTATGTTTTATATTTGAGGTTCAGTGGAGGATTCTTTAAAAAAAAAAAAAAACTTGGACAAAATATTTCCTTCCAGGATTGGATACGTGGCCCCTGAGGAAGAAGTATACCCATGAGTTTAGTGTTGTCGTTGTTGTCTCTCTCAGATATTAACTAGGACCTTCTAGGACTGAAAGAGCTAGGTACCTGTTTGCTGACTCCGTTCGTCTCTTCTTATCTGTCCCATACAGTACCATCTTCTCTGTCTTATAAGTGTTGATACCTTTGGGAGCAAGTTAAAAGTTAGGAGGCCCAAACTGATCATTATGGTCTGAGCAGTATGGCGCTGCGGGGAGTTGCCAGGGGATCTGGCCGATGTTCAACATTCAAGGGAAAGGCGAGACGGATATACAATCACAGTTACTGGTGCCATCGGAATTAGAACTTTGGGTCGGAGTGCTTACGGGAGTGCCCCGAATGCTGTGATTCGATTCTCAACTCAATATTCAACAATAACTGTTAATACTAATGACTGCAAAGGCACTGATCTTATTTCTTCCCTCCTCTTGAATTCATCCTATAGTTCTCATCACATAAATTCTTTCAAATACAAAATCAAAGGAGATTTATTCCCCACAATATTGGGGAATGAGATGTCATATGGTGCTTACAGACCAATCAACACTCGACAGGCCATGTTATCAACATAATGCCAACATCTTTACTTCGCAGGATATCTGCTGGTACCCATACAAGGCTGGGTTGGCTAGATACAAATCTGCCTGGATGCGGTCCCAAACCCAAGACTTTCGGGCTTGCAGGCATGCATCTAGTCACTGCGTTGTCAGTTTTCACATGTAAATATATTTATGTCAACAATTTCCTGTTCAACTTTGTGGAATATAAATACGATAAATAGAATCTCTTACTTAAATTTTTTTTTTTAAAATATTTACAGTTTTTAAACAGTTTAGTCAGCACCTGATATGTGATACTGATCATGATTCTGATTATTGCATATTAAAGCATGCATTCAATCTTCTCAAGGAAGGAAATGCGGCAGGGCCAGATGGTATCCCAGCTGAAGCCATTAGGGCCAACATAAACACATCAACAGAATTGCTTCATAGATTATTTAGTAAAGTTTGGGAGACCGAAGAAATACCAGCAGACTGGAGGGAAGGATATCTTGTGAAACTGCCCAAACAAGGTGATCTACAGGAGTGTGAAAACTCTAGAGTAATTATGTTGCTGTCAGTTCCTGGAAAAATATTAAGTAGAATTATTTTGGAAAGATTAAAAGATGCTACTGATAAAAATCTAAGAGATGAACAGGCAGATTTTCGGTCAAACAGATCCTGTACTGACCAGATAGCCACTTGAAGTATAATAATAGAGCAAAGCATTGAACTGAACTCACCACTTTACATTGGATTCATAGACTATGAAAAAGCATTTGACCACATTGATAGGGAATGGAGATTGATTGGGCACTAAGGAATCCTACAGAAAATTATTAACTTAGCAAAGGCAAAATATAAAGACGTGAAATGTCAAGTTCTTGTTGAGGGAAAGCTAACAGATACATTTGAAAAAAAAACAGGTGTGCGACAGGGATGTTCCATGCTATAATTAGTTAATATATTCAGCAGGGCTACCTAAACACAGACAATACCAATGAAATTTTAAAACATTTTTCGAGTGAGAAAAGGTCACTGCAAACATGCAGATACATTGGCTTTTACTGGGACTGCCTCACAACCAGAAGTAATTTGATCTAGAAGTCTCCAGGCAAGAGAGTTAAAAGGGCAAGTTTGTTATTGTGGCATTCTGTTAAATCTGCTTTTGTAGTTGTCAGGATATCTAACTTTTAAAATGTGTATCTACTTTTCCAGGCTTATTGCAGTAGGGACATATATTAAACTAGTGGCATCCTTTTACATTCACACTTCTTGCACTCCACTAAATTTTTTTTTTTTTAAAATTAGTATACCACATGCATTCATCACATTATCTTCTTCTTCTTCACGTTCATCAGCTGTAAACTCCGGGGGAATTGTTCCAGAACCTGAGTGTTGCATGCACATCCACTTTACATATCTGACTTATTTGTATGCAGACTACTGGTTCCTTGCCTCTCAGGCAGATGTACTCCAACTTCGAAGGAACTCCCCAAACAGTTGACTCTTATGACATGCTTGTTGGGGAGGCAATGGGTCTGTTCTTGATTTCTCCACAATGGGGCCCCAGAACCCACACGGGGATCATCATCACATTGTGCCTACTTTTATAGTTAAGTAAAACAAGCCATTCTAAACTGTGGTCTCAAAAATTGTTTACTGCAAGGAGTGTTCAGTTCAAACGTTACTTTTCATTTTCCACTTGCAGCACTGAATAATTTAATTGCATGCATTCTGTCTTTCTCCTTTTTTTTTTTCTTTAGAACGTGTTCTGACTTTCCTTGTCAGATTTTTAAGAGGCATATGTTTCAAGCATTAATGTGTGCTTTAAAGAAGCTGACATTCGATCAAACTGCTCAGATGTATGTCAAGACAACAAGAGCCCTGTAGACACAACAGAAGCAGACCCAGAGGTAGCCTACACAAGTGATGGATAGATGAAATGTCGAACACCATGAATCTGCTTACCTCTGTTAATGATATCCTCAATGTACGAAGCATTCTTCTTCTCTCCCCCCACACAGCCTTCCTGAGCAAGGAGCTATGCCTCTGCTGTAGCGGCAACAAGACATAAAGTCCAAATACTGGATCCCCAAAGGAAACTCCTTCATAGTGCTCCAGAAACTCCTGATATCTGAAGACAAATGTGAAAGATATTCATGTGTTTGATGTCTTTATAGCTAGCTGGCTTTTCTTGGATGCTCATTCAGGCGGTCTCCATGGTAAAGTGGCTATGCCACTCACCTCATTGCTCTGATCGGTATGGGGTTCAGTTTGTTGCTGGAACTAAGGAGTTCATGCTTTGTGTGATGGTCAACAAACCATTCTGTGGAGAGAGACTGCGCCAAATGGGGTAAACTCCAGTGCAATGAAATCAATCCTCTCACTTTTTGACTTCTAAGAAATGTTTAAGACTGAACATGAAATGAGCTGTACAAAGTTAAGGTCAAGAGAATCAACTCCACTGCACTGCGTGTTATCCTATATATCCCCATTACAGCATATAGAATGGCTAGCCACGCAATTATGCATGATGTGGACAAATAAACGCTTCTTATATTTCTTTGGATTAAAGGGTTTTTCTTCTTCTTCTTCTCTTCCACCATTTACCTCAGTGAAGTGTTTGGGGAGGTGTAATGGTCGTTTGTGCACTTTTTCTAATGCATTGTACAAGTTGGTGTTCATTTCTGTTGAGTTGCACTTGATGATGTCGCTCCAAATATTGCACAATCTTTCCCTTGCTCTGTGTTCATTATATTTCTTCAGCGTGGCTCTCTGTGGCAGTTGGTACCAGGGCATTCTCGCAAGGTGGCCAAACCATCTCATTTGTTTTTTTAACAAATGTATGACTCGTTTCAGTCCTAGTTTTCTTCTAGTTTCTTCATTCTTGATTGTATCTCTTATTGTCACACCAGCAGCTTTCCTAAGACATCTCATCTCTCTTGTTACGATCTTCTGATCATTAGTTGTAGTAAGGGTCCATGCCTGGCACTGGTAAAGATGTCAAACACCTTAAATCTTTTATTGCTTTAGTATTCTCATGAGTGCTTCCTTCATAGCCAGTCCATCAGAATCTTTATTCAGCATTACATCTAGCATATAATCCTATGCATAAAAGAAACAAACACATTAAAAAAACAACTTACAAATCATAGGAAGATGTAATTCCAGGTACTCTTTCTTCAAAGTCCAGTTTGTCAAGATGTTTCTGGGTTGCAAAAACCCGCAACAAACCAGCCAAGTAGTGGTTTACAGGTCTTTCAAGAAACAGATCATTTCCTGCAAACAGAAAACATGCCAAGGATAGTTTACTTCAAGATAGTTTTCTGTACAAACTGTGATTCAGTAGTTATACTTTTTAGAAGTTTAGATGTTCTGTTGTAGAAATTGTGTACCAACTATCTAATCTTAGATGTTTACTATCCATGTGGGTTCCGTGGCCCCTTGTCCGGAGGAAAAAGAATAGACCCCCTTCCCCCAATCATCATCGGACCCAGAGGCACTTAAGGACGAGACAAACTGTTGCCACTCAATTCAATCCAGAGCCATCCTCTCTATCTCCAGTTTTGTCTTTCACGTAGCCTTGAGTTCAGCCTCAAAGGTTCACCTCCAAACCATTAGACTTGCCTCTTCCTCGCTGTCCTTGTGGTGTCCATTGCATTGCCTGACTCAGCCATCTCACTCTTTAGTCATTCTTAGGATGTGAAAAATCCACCGCCATCTTCATCTTTTTATTTCTAAATTTACATCTTCTAAGTCTGCCATTTGTTATAATCTAGAATTGTTCTTTAAAAGGCCTATTAATAGAACAAAAACCTACCAGCAATGAAGGCACACATAACTCTTGTTAACCGCAGAGTCACCGAAATCTGATCCATCTCCACTGGTCTCCACGTTTCTAGAGCATAGGTCCACTGCAACACACTGGTTACCATGGCCACTCCTTGGGGAGAAACACTGTCTCCCGACACAGACCTCCTGCATGAGAGATAAAACAAAGTTTAGTATTGTGGGCTTCAGGGTTCTTCTTTTTGTCCATGCTCTGTAGTGTTGGTAGCTTTTTTATATATCCATAACCTTCTGTCTCCCGTGCGTTCAATCAATTCCAACATAGATGATCTTCCTTGGCCTGCTGTCAAAATGTCCAGCATATTCTCTGTGTCCCTCTGCTTCTCTCTCCGTCCAACTTTCCCACCATCATCATCTGCTTCAGCTTCAGTGTTAGACACAAAAGGCCTCACAGCTTTAATTTGATACATCAGCACTTAGTGAGCTCCTTGGCTACATGGAAATGTGGGGGGCGGGGAGGCAGACCCAAGACCCTTTAACTCTTTGAGTCCCAGGGGTTTAGCATCAGAGGCCCAAGGGTTAGTCAAAAGTGATGTAAAATCGGCACATCTTGCGTTCATTGGGCCTCTAGGCGGGAACCTATAAATGTAGTATGCGTTCCTTGGGACTCAAAGAGTTAACAAGCATGTTGTAAAAGGTGACTAATTAAGGACTGGCTGAATCTGGATGTGTTGGGCAGAAAAGTGCGGACATTACAGCCTAGCTGTAAACAGAACATAATGTGCCAACTGTCCTTCTGAGAGATGAACAAAGAAGAATTTCATGAGTGATGTGGACAATACCATGCAAAATGCTTTACATTCCAGGTAACTTCCAGGTACTCTTTTAGGTTGTGCAAACCTAGCAGCCCATGTTTTTTCTGTTTCCAGCAGCTGTTACATAGAGAATTACCTTTGAGAGGATTTCACAACAGGCAAGTGTTCAAGCCAGACAAGCTTCCAACCACATTTCAACACTGATAGCAGTGGTTTCTTTAGGAATCTCTGCATACATATTTAGTTTGCTTCTAGAATCAACTACATCAAGACACGATTATGAACACTGAGGTACTGAGAAGAGCAGGCATCACAACAATGTGCTAAATGCTGTCTTTGAAGGCTCAGGTGGCTAGGACAAACTTCAAGGATGGTGGAACTGTAAAGGCTCTAAGGACATCTCTATGGTGAACTACAGATGGGTAAAGATGTCAGGTCTCAGCTATGATTTAAAGATGCTTGCAAGCAGGGCATGAATGATACAGGTATTGAGATGAACTCAAGGAGACAGTATGCAATAGATCAGAGTACATAGACGGGAACAACTAGAAAAGGGATATTAAAAAACAAAAAAATACTGCAGACTGGTTAAAACTGAGTTTCTTCAGACAAAAAATTTCAAATATGTGTGGTGTCATTAATGGCCCTAAAATCTCATGATTTTGTTGTGGAAAATTCTTCTTAAGGTGAGGAGGTCATTCTAGTCACACCCATCATCACCAGGGACTGTGATTCCCTACAGCACAATGGAAAACTGTCCTCTGGAAACAGAAGTGATGCCAACAAACATAAACATTTGATTTTGTCTTAGTGCTCATAATTTTCCTAGAACACTGCATTCAAAACCTTATTCTATCACACTACAGTTGGAAATACATCAAGTAAGCTGTCTTCAATATCTAGGCCCAATGCTGACTAGTGATGGACATTTTATAACACATATAAAAAGAGAACACGCATTGCTCTATAAATGCTAAAGCAATTAATGTTTTAGAGATGGAAAGATAGAAAAACAAATGTCAAAGCACTGAGATCATTTCTATTCATGTAGTAACATAAAGGTGTGAAACTTGGACATTGATAAATTAAACTGAAAGGCATACAGATGCCTTTGAATATAAATTTAACAGGAACATTCTCCACAATTTTTCTTGTTCTAAAAGCAGCTTGTGCCAGGTTGCACTGGTAACTGTCTACACATGGCCATCTGTCTCCTGCACACTCAATAAAATCTGGTACAGATGTTTCCCCATGCCATGAGACCAAACTGTCCAGCATCTTCTCCGATAGTTTCCATCTGCTACTCTTCTCCACTTTTCCCATTGTCATGATGAATTCATTTTCCCCTTCTCATGATGTAACCAAAACATGCAGATTGTCTTCTTCTGATGCAAATTATCATTTCTCGAAGTTTTTTTCTTCTTCAAGGCATCATCAAAATTCGTTGGGTGAAAAAAAGATCAAGCAGATCTATCCAACAAGAACTCAGTACAAATGAAGACTGGTTTTTAAGATACATAACATTTAGAAAACAATTTAGATACTTTGGGTATGTTAAAAGAAGGTCTGAAAAAGATTCAAAGAGGGAGGTGTTCCAGGGAATCAGAAAAAAATGTGAAACAGATCCTCCATATGACAGCAACAGAGGTAGGGCAACTAGCTGATGACAGATACCTATTTTGAAAGCCTGGTATGTAGACAAAGTAATGTACATTTTAAAAAACTGGATAATGATGAAACATGAACAATTGTCCCACAATGTGTGAAGTGGACATTCCAATCCTCAGGGTGAAAAATGGGTGTTCAAAATGGCCAAATGCAAGACGGGCCTGAGTGCCCAATTTGTGACCTTTCAAAAATAAAGTTTGTTTGTCCAGTTGTTCGTTCACTGCTTCCTCTCTAGACAGTACTTCTTTTTTATATGCTCATCCTTTAAAAGAGCTGCTGACATTGTGTTGTGGTTTACAGCTAGGCTGCAATATCTGAGTCTTTTGGCACAATACATCTAATTTCAGCAACCCCCCCCCCCCTCCCCCAATTGGTCGCCTTTTACGGAACACCTGTGAGGGAAGCCCTGGTTCAATTCAACTTTCCCCTTACCAAATAAGGGCCCGTAACCCACAGGAAGAGAGAGAGAAAGTAATAACATTTAAAATTCTGTAAAGTCTGAACTTTTTAAAATTTCCAAATGTATTCGTATAACTGACTGCATTTGCATCATACATCCTTCTCAGCTACATAAATGACACTGCTACATACGCCTGAGCTGCCTTGTTGTAGACATGAATGAGTGGCAGAAACATCCAGTCTCTGGGCATCAGGCTCTCACCAGCACCAGTGATCATCTGAGACTGGATTTCTTGTGGGTTCCCCATGAACAGATTCCTATAAATACAAAAAATGGTGATGGTACAATACAAACTTGCAAAATAATTTGAACCAAATTGAAGCTCTTCTGAATTACAGCAGGACATGAAGTGCAAAAAGGGATAAAATAAAAGAAAACTACAATTAAATGTATAGTTTATGCTACCACAGAGAAGATCAATCAAGAGGACACTAAGATAAAATGTGATCAAAGAAAAGGTAAAAAGAGAAATTTAGATATTGTAAGTTTGCTACAAATTAACATAATACAACCAACAATTTTTTTCAGGATGCACAAAGACAGAGAAATATACTTTAACATTTTTAATATGTCATTGTAAAGAAAAATGAAAAAAAAATTACTGCAAAGTAATGACAATCTTTGCAGACTAGAGCATAGAGCAACAAAAATAATAGTGCCAACAGAATGTATTTTTCCTGTGAAGCATTTTAAATACTTCACTGTAAAAATTAAACAGAACTAAAATAATCACAATCTTTGCAGACTGGAACACACAACACCTAAAATCAGTATCAAATGCATGAATAGTGTGTTTGGCTCTGGGTGGAATCCAGTATTTTGTTCACAACTCGGACACTAAAAAAGATATGGCAATGAAATGGGAGTGGACTTCTCTGTTCATGAAAGTCAGGTGACATCATAATAGGTGCTGGAAATGGTCATAACCGGCCTCCAGGCAGCACTGGAGGCTGTGTTCCATGTTGTGGAAAGTCCGTCTATTACTTCACGTAAAGGGGCGTGACTCAACATAATGTGATGTTTTGTTGGCGGGATGCAAATGGTGGCCATTTCCAGCATTTATCATGATATCGTCCAAATTTGCATGAAGTGAAGTAGTTAGTTAGTTGGGTTATCTTCATTGCACTCCGGACATGTCCATAGGTGCTCAGAACCTCCCCTCAGTATGAACCCCAACGTCCCATGGCTAATAGTTCCAGTTCTATGTTAATTAACAAGTCTTCTGGTGTGTTTGGTGTGCGTCTCGTTTTTTGCTATGCCGATCTTAATCCCCAAGTCTGCTATTCTGGCTAGTGATGTGGATTCACTGCCCCCAAAGTCCTCTATCCTTCCCATTTCTCTGAGGGCATTAATAATTTCAGCATGATCCATAGGCTGACCATCGGTAGTGACAGCGGATCCAGCCAACCTATCAGTTCTTTCATTTCCATCGACACCTGCGTATCCCGGAACAAAAATAAAGGTGACTCCACGCACTGTGGACTTCTGTAATGATTCAAGCCATTCTCTTCGCACCGAACCTGCCCGAACCCTCCGGATCATGCTCAATGAATCACTGAGTATACATACGCGGGTGTAGTTTTGTGTTTTGACTGTTCTGCCTGCTGAGCGTTCTGTGAATGCCCATGCGCTTCTTTTTTTGGCGTATAACGGATCCGTCCGTGTAGATTAGTGCATCAGCTTTGTCTGAATTTTCAATGATGAGAGCGTTGACCTCTGCATCAACAGCAACAGGATTCTCCTCTCTACATTGCCTATTCAGTATGAAGTGAAGTAACTCCACCCCAAATTAATTTGCCATATCTTTTTTTAGTGTCCGAGTTATGAACTAAATACTGGGTGGGTTCCGCCGCCCCCCCCCCCTCCCCCCAAGCGAAACACCCAATATTTTTCTGATGCATTCATGTGAAGTATTTTAAAGACTTCATAAAAAAAAAGAATGCAGATTTCTTGTGACAACAAATGAAGGATCCTTTAATCTAGCTCTTTATTGACTATTCATAACTTTAGTGGTCTTTGAATCCATCCAGTTCAGACTATTTGCAACTATAATGGCACTTCATAGAGACACTCTAATACTGTTTTGTTTGCTGGGAAAACCAATCTGTAAGAATCTGCCGATAATATAGGTTATGATGAAGTATCAACAAAATATTTTAAACAGATCATCTCTGTTTCAATCAGCTGTTTTTCTGATTTCAGTTGTGGTGAAATCTGACATGTTTCAAATAAAGACTAGCTGATACAAAATTGGATAGAGAAGGCATGTGAATTCTTAGAAATAGATAGCAGTGTTGCTGAATAAGTTAAAAAAAAAAAGTAAGGTAAGCACAACATATTTTGTGTAAACCATCTTCTTGTGTGTCTAACATCCTTGAATATTGTGTCATTTTGATAATATTTTTGTGTAATACTGATACTTAAATAGTTAAGATTTATTCTGCACTCATTTTTCTTTAATTTGAAATATTATATGTCCCTATACAGACAATATTTTTTTCTTCAGGAAGGTTTTGGCTTTGTCATGTTTCAGTAAAGAAGTTACGTTCAAAATTAATGCTATCCAAATCCCATAAAAAAATTATGTCCTGAAAGAGCCAGAAAAGTCAAAGTAGTCTCATAGCAAATAGGGCTGCTGGAAAGTGAAATATCAGGTCTTCATGTATTCTCATGACATATGAACTAGGGGGACCCATTGCCTTCCTCGCTGCTCTTTTTTCTGGAAATGCAAAACATCTAGATTATCATGATTGTGTGCACTGAGGTCACATTCTATATCTGTGATCCATGGAAAGAAACTGAAATACTACAATGTCTTCACTGCTCATTCAGCTAGCTCCTCTACCTAGTGGAGGTGACTGTTGCTATGAGAGCGATCCATCACACACTGAATAAATACAACAATGAAGCAACCAGCTTACCTGGAATCCTGTAAAGCTTCTTCCATGCCACCAAACGCTTGCAGGTAATGGCCCCTAATCTTTGCCAAAGAGAGGTAAGTCTGTTGAAGAAGCTTATGTTTGCTTAGACTGATCTCCTCTTGAGTGGCGCTAATGATGTGAAGGTTTTCGGTGATGTTCAGGCCCTCTAGTGCTTCAGATGTTAACTGTGTGTCTTCTCCTTCACTAGTAAATGAAACAAAAATAGAGAATAAACATATAAGAATCTATTGATAATATCTTATGAAGTTGATTCATCATCATCATCAAGTGCCTTGCTGACTGGAGTGGGCATTCATGCCACTCCACAATCTACAATCTGCAACTGCATGTAGCAATTCCTTTGTTGACACTGCTCCATGCCATGACAAAAGGCTGCCAAGAATATCCTGATGCTGTCTTCCTCTGTCTCTTTTTCCACACATCTTTCCAGTGGTCACAACATGTTCCAGTTGCCCTCTGCTTATAACATGATAAAAAAAATAATGACGTCTCTTTCTGATGTTCATGATAAGTTGTCTTCGAGCACTCGACTCTTTCAAAATATCAGAGTTGCTCTTTCTGACTGTCCAAGGAATTCTAAGGATTCTTCTGTAAAATACATCACCAAGGTCTCAATAAACTGTTTGGCTTGCTTATTAACAAAGCAGATGGATTCACAGCCATATGTTAAAACTGGCTCTAAATAGTATGAAAGAATTGTCTTCTTAACCTCCAATGACATGGATTTATTGGAAAAAGCTGATTACAAAAGCTAAAAACCATTAAAAAAAATATGTGTATAAGATAATTCTGCTTTACAGTTTACAGGTAAGACACAGTTTTATCCCCAACTGGCTTTGTCTTTCTGCACAGTGGGAATGCCCACCTGCTGAGTGGTACACCACATGCTGGGTCACCAGTTCTGAACCAGATGAAATCACAGACGCTGTACCTGTAAAATACCTAATGAATACATCAAGTAACATGGCAGGATGTAACAAAACTAACCTCAGAAAATTTGGGGAGAAGACCACTGTAGAAATGAGGTCATGAACTAGATGCTCATTGCCGTGGTGAACCCTGGCCACCAGCTGAAGGGCCACTCTGTGAGCCAAACTCATATTTTGACAACTCTAGGTAGAAAAATTAACTATTGGTAATTCAAATAAGAAACCTGGTCTTTTCAATAATGAAGCAATAAAGAAACCAAAAAATAAACATATGTAGACAATATTTAATGTATTGTTATTTTTTTGCCAGGCACATGCTATGCAGAAAAAAAATATTTAAAAAATCACACCCACTCATGGCTTGTAGCAATAGGATTTCAAGATATAATTCAGTCAAGTGGCATCTCCACAAAGAAGGCAGGCTGCAACAGATCTCCAACAGTATGTGTCCTCCCAGGATGTACACTCTCCGAGACCACCACCTGTCTATCTCTTGATGGTATCCTCCCACCTGTATCACTGTCTGCCTCGGCCAACTCTCCATATAGTTCTTAATAATAAGTGTTATGTCTTTTAAAGTAAAGTCCCTTAACCAGGAAAAAATTGGTTCTGTTGACTCTGCCATGTGTAGCAAAGTGACATCATAAAAATCTTTTTATGATTTCAGGATTATGTCACAATGTTAACAAAATTAATTTTTTCATCCCAAAAAAATACTGCAGAAAAACTGCAGAAATAAATTTAAACAAGTAAATATAATCATGCACAATATGTCAACACATTATGCAGTTGCAACTAGTACCAAAGCTGTATCTTGGCGTGGCAGCCACTACTCAAAGACACCATCATGAAAACTAGTAAATGCCAGGTGTAAAAAGGTGTTCCTGTGGTGACAGGTCTTCTGAGAATGAAAGAGACATTCTTACAGTAATAAAAAACTGAGAGAAACCATCATGGTACCTAAACAATACAATAATGAAATGGCACCTTTCATTGATTTTTGGGTAGTTATAATGGATAAGTTCTTGGGTACCCTGATGGAAGAGGTATTGAAAGTAGAACGGACAAGTATGGGGAAACCCGATTGCAGTGAAGTTGGACCCTTGACTAAAACTATGAACTTGTAGATCCACCAACAGCCAACATGGATCTCCAAAACACATGCACTCGCAAACCGAGCACAGTCTGAAATTCTTCTTCTGCGTACATACAAAGATGTAAATGTGCTGATCCCATTTACCACACAGCTGTAATATTTGTGCATTTCAGCCGACACATCCAACATCTACAGGCCTCTGTTGCCAGGGTTAGCCTTCCTAGGTTGGAAATAAAACCCAAAACTTTCACAGTGCAAGGCAAACAGCTAAACCAACTCATAAGGACTGTACATAATTATATAGAAAAGTAGTTCTACTTCTGCATTTGCCTTTAAAAGGACAGTCAATATGTTGTGGTTTACAGCCAGGCTGCGATATTTGTGCCTTTCCTCCAACACTTCTGATTTCAGCAAACTCCTATGTTTTTGCCTTCAACGATATGCTTGTTAGGGTCTACTGGGTCTACCCACTCTAAAATTGGGCCACGGAACCCACACGAGAAAAAAAGGGTACCGATGATAATAAAAACCAACTTACCACCAGGGTACAACATTTAAGCCAATAGTAATGCAGTAAGTTCTCTCCCCCTGTAAAGTGAGCTGTGTGGAAAGCTGACCTGCTGACTGCGCAGGTTTTTGCCATGTAAACCAAGATATCCTTGTTATGTACAACAGGCTCAATCAACTGTTGAAATAATGGAAGATAAGAATGGCTGATGAAAAGAAAACATGAGAAAAATTGAATAAAGCATAAGTAGAATTTGAATGTTGAATGAAGAATCGACATCACAGCACACAGAACACTCTGATAAGTGCTCAGTCCCCATCTTCAGCAGCAAACGAAGAGTTCCAATTCTGATGGTATCAGTAACCGTTTGATTGTATATCCGTCTCATCCTTCCCCTGAGTGTTAATCGTCAGCCAAATTCCCCTGGTATATTTAGAATTTAAAAAGTAAAAATGCCATGACAAAACAAACATATTGTAATGATGCTATAAATAGGGATAACGTCAGGGTATGACTGACAGAATTGGGGATGTCCCTGATAGCATGGGTTTCACGGCATTATGGTGAAAAGGCAGAATTGAGTCAGTCATGTGTGAATGCGAGATCTGGGGGATTGAGAATGAGGTGGTCATTCGGTGACTGGGCCCCAGATTGGAAGGACGTGAAGCTGAATCCAGAATGATAAGTGCACACGTGGATCTGGATGAGAATCGAGTGAATGTTAATCCTGAAGACATGCAGCGGTGTTGAATTATTGTTTAGGTCAGCAGTTGTGCTCCACGGCCTGTTTGTTATGCCAGTGGTGTACATGCCAGTGTCCATCGTCTGAAGTGTGGCTGGAGACTCAGAGTGTGAGCAAGGCGAGATTGTCCGAATGGCGTAAGTTAGTTCATCTGTTGATTCTTGTCGATTGTGCTGCATTGACAATAAACCAGTGAAATGAGTCAACTGTCGTCGACCGTCATTTAAAGTTGCGTGGCAGTGGAGAAAAGTGCCATCTGGCTGGAATGAACTGTGACATAACACCTAGACAACAGAGTCTGTGTTAACTCTGCACAAGAGAGATTAAGTGCGGAGGAGACACATTACACATATCAAGTGGCAATTTCATGAATTCACTATGATTATTTGACTTCTATTATTCTCTTATGTGCAAGGGACTGTCGGGTACACATTTTACTGCATCACAGGTGGCCTAGGCTAATATAGCCTTATATAAGACTGAACAGGGTATCTTGGCGAGGTCCTGTTATTTTGCCATCCTGGATGTTACTCTTTTGGTCACAAGAGCAGTCAACAGTGAGGGGTAAAACAGTGACAAACAATTATTTCAGTGTTGCCTTTTACTAAGAATAGAGATTTCATTGATAGGTCAGTATTTAGTGCCGATAACTGATATACTTTGAAAAAAATATCATACGCTCAGCCTTCCATGTTTTTCACAACTCCTGCTTCAAAATAACCATTAAAAACATCAAATGTTTGGGGTTACTATAATACGATGAAAGACCTTATTGAGATTAAGAGCATGAAAAAAAGAAATCTTTTTCTGCAGATTAAAAAATATATATATATATTATGTGATAAATCACTCTCAATGAATATTAGAAAGAGGACACTGAATTGTTCTCAGACCTGTTCTGCTGTACGATAGTGAATCCTGGAATGTAAAAAAACAAATTAGGAACAGCCTGGAGGCAACAGAGATGTCTTGGACAGGAACAGAAACTTATAATGACTGTCTGGGAAAGTTAATGGAAGTAACACAACAATAATAAGGAGATAGACAGTGTGGTTTGATCATGTGGTGAGAAGAATGGCACTGGATCATTGCAAGAGCTGGAAAGATCAGAGATACCTGAGGCAGAGGCAGACTGAGAGTAATGAAGCTTCATGGCCTAAGATGGTGGCATAGAGAAATACTATCAAGAGAACTGTGTCACAAACACCAAGGAATGGGATCTGTAAAGACCACAAATATCTATGCCCTCAGAAAGGCACACAGTGATAAGAATAAATTTGGGACTGAGTTTTTCTAAAAATATAATAATTTCTTACTTATATTTTGCATGCCACTTGATTGTGACCATTGATATTTTAATGTGATTTTCCATACATTTTAAATAATTACCATTACTCTCTGAAACCAAAGACAATTATGAAACAGGCCTTTACCTGAGGTATCAATGACTTATGTCTTCTACAAACTGCCAACATCAACCTCAACAAAGCCACAAGCAACCCAAAGGGAGAGTGAGGTAACAATACTGGCATATTTAGTTTCCATGTCTCCTGGCATGTGGCAGGGTCAGTCAAAGCAGTGTCCTCTGAGTTGGGAACTTTGCACACACATAGTGATGGCAGGTTTGAAGCTGTCTCGGTGGGGACAGCTGAAGCGGGTGCTAGTAAATTTGAGTGGGAGCTGGAAAAATCAAGGGGGATTGGGGGGGGGGGGGGGGGAAGAAAGGGGAATTAATATGGTTAAAAATTAGAATTGTTACTGTAGAAACATCAATCTATGAGGCAAAATTAGAAATCAGTCTAAGGCAAAAATAACTGGCTAACTGACAAAAGTCATTCTTTTTTGTCTTTAGTGTCTAGTCCCATGTGAATGAAGTGTCGTTTTGTAATCTTCATTTGCTGCTACATGTTGCTGAGAGCTTAAGCCTGTGTTTTAAGACCAGATGTGATGCCTGGATTGCTTATTCTAAGTTTGTTTCGAATAGCTTTGGTAATATAAATCCAGAATTTTCTTAATCTTCCCTTAATCTACACTAAGAACATTAGGAAAGTTTTTTAAAAAAAAACAGTAAAAGAAAAATTTCATGACTTGGAGGTGTGTGGGGATATACTGCTAGAGTTATAATTTTGTAGACATGTGGTTTCAAACCTGTGCTCTGGAGCAGGACTGCAGTCCAGAAGTGGACGAACAACAAGAACTTTACGCCAGAGTGTACAGCTGGTGAACGCGAAGAAGAAGAAGAAACCTGTGCTCTACTGAGCCCTACCCAGGGGCTCTAAGGCTGCCAAATAAAAAATTAAAGATTAAGAAACAAAAACTAGAATCAAAATAAGATCTGTATCAATACTATTAGTATTATCTTTTCCCTCTGGTTGGTAACATTACTACTAAATATTATTAACTTGTACAACAAACAGTATGGCTGATCTAAGAGGCCCCACCATAGACACTGATTCTATAAGGGTTCTGCAAGTCAAAAACATTGGGAACCACACTTATAAACTTAGTGGCAAAGGAAGGATGATGTGGCCAACATCAGGAAAGCTGCCTCTACATGTCAGCTGCCTTTACTTTCCAGGACATTACCTGGTATCCATTTTATCAGGGTCAGTTTTGAAAGACAAAATAAGCCCTGATACAGATTTGAATCCTAGACCCCCAGACAGCAGGTGTGTCTCTAGTACCATGCTACTGAGACTTCTTTATCGGCAGGTGATCAGGATAAATTCTCATAAGATATTCAAAGCACTTTATTTATTGTCTCTCAATTAAACTGGTTTGTGCTATAATTTCTATGTCTATTTACACTCTAACCCTTCTGGAAACTCTAAGAGCCATTCTCCTGCATTTCATCTCAGACATGAAGAGCTTTTTCTTTTGAAATGTTCAGACACTCGACATTGAAAAAGAAGATAGTCTTGTACCATTTTTTTTTCTTGCCTAAAATTCAATAGTAATATTCAGCTGAGTACAGGTAATAACTGATACAGTTGAACAGCTTCCAAGTTGACACAGCCTAAAATGGGTTCCAGGACATGCTGGGGAAGTCAAGACAACTAGCATGTAACCCTGGAAGTTCAAACTAGTCTATTTGTAGGAATGTGTCTAGCACCCTACTTACTATAAAAACATGTTTTGTTTCTTTATTTGTAATTTTAATTTGTATCATTTAAAAATCATGGCTGTATTGCTTTTAAAGAGACTAAATACTCAGTGGAAGTGGCCACTGGGCAAGATTGATTTCTTTAGCATGTTCTGACCAAATGAAAAATGTAAGAGGACACAACACATTACATAATGGTTGTGATTTCACAGGAAAATCAATCACACATCAAGCATTCCTCGACAGCGAAGAGAGGTAAATGACTAGTGAACAGACGCAAAAGTATTTAAAAAGTAAAGCTGCATGAGCTTATGTGGTGAGGGCTCTTTTCAATCAAGTGGACAGTGTAACAGAAAAGAGTTCACATAACCTGAGAGCCTGTGCGGGGAGTAAGTGGATGGTGTGGATGGTATTCCACATGCAGAGATAAGACACAGACTTTTAATCAAGCTGCAACTAGCTCCAGCAGTATGGGAACTCCTCACGGGCTATGCGGAAGGTGACCAGCAAGTGTGGGAATGTCTTGAGTGTAAGCATTCATTCATTCATCGTTCCATTTAAAGGTTGCTAGACAGATAATTATAACTCACCTCAAGCTATCAATGATGACTGACAAGCCATGGGAAGACAAAAGTGGTATGATACATGTTCTGCAGAACTGTTCAATGCTGTCTAGGCTGGCAATGACATCAATCCCACTCTATACACAAGAAAATATTTATTTTAAAACAATTATAACACAAAGTGATGTACATTAAACTTTTCAGCAGCATTTGTCAGACTATATCAGCTGCGTTTCTAAGGATGACTGAATGATACGTCTCTATATAAAGAAAAACATTTCTTTACTATCTACTTTTATCTCATTTTAGAGTGGTTTAGGGAAAGGGGGTTGGAGGGGCAAGGGTCCTATAAGCCTGATTTCAGACTATGGCCAGTGCAGTCCCCATGAAATGTGCATTTTAGGGTATTTATTTCTGCCACCCAACAGGAAATAAAAAATGATATCTTACTGGGAATTTGAACTTGGGTCTCCCACATGAAAGCCAAGAACTCTAGCCACTCAACCTACCGTTCCTCTATGGGACGATATGTAACTAATTCATATAATTTAAAACATGAAAATATAAAGTCTCAACACTTCACCACTCAAGTATCTGCTTTATCACTCAACTTTTCAAACATTTCACACAGACCTAGAAAAAAATTCTAAAGCAAAATATTTCTTTAATAAAAGTTTTTCTTCTTCTGCCTTCTATCCCCCAATGGAGCATGGGCCCTCAACCAAATCTAACCTAGTCACTTCTCAACCTTCCTTATTGCACGCAGCTCTGCCCATGTCCTTTCCATAATTTTAACTAACTCTCTAGCTGCCTTCTGCATGTGTTTTTGGTCTTCCTTTATTTCTTTGGAATTATCAAAGATGAAAACAGTGGGAAATAGAGAAGGAGAAGCAACAATGAAATTTATTTTGTTTAAATCATCAATGATCACTAGCTTTGAAAGAGCTAATAGAAGTGTTTTGAGCATATCAAGAGAAGAAAAATGACTGTGCACAAGGGAGTTCAAAGGCTACATACTATGAGCCAAACCAAAAAGACGGCAGAGATAATATCTAGGCAGACCTGCAAACACTTGTGCTGTCACCATTGAAAATATAGGGCCTATCACAAGAATGATTGGAGGCAGGTGATATCTACAGTAATTAACTTCAAGGGCTCGGAATGCAGAAGAAGAAGAAGAGGAAGAAGAAGAAGAAAAATACGACGAAGTAGTAGTAGAAGAAGAAGAAGGAAAGTATTAAAATTATATTTCCATAGGGACTGTGTTGTGAAGCTCTCCTTCCCATCTCCAAACCCAGAAACCTGCAGAATACTAGAAGACTGTCACAAGAAGCTGACACATTTATGATGAAAACTATAGCCTGTTTAGATAAATTAGATGTCAGTGTTTTTTTTAAAGACATATTATGAGAAAGAAAGACACTAGGGAACTTGGTTACAACCTGGCAGGACTGATGGGAAAAAAGGTACGGCAAAGAGATAAATACCTGGATGTCTTGGCTATATGGATGGGGTGAGTCAAGAGCGCTGACCTGATCCAAGATTCTGGTGATCATGTGAGAGGGATAATATTAATCAATATGGTTAGCACCACCCCAATGAAGTGAATATAATTAGGCTGATATTGGTAGTTTTGTACAAAGGTTTAGGGTATTTAAATTATTGCAGCAGACACTGCCAAGATGGAATAAGTGGTAGAAGAAGATGAAGAAGTAGAGAAGAAAGCAAAGACAAAATAGAAGAAATTTACTTGGCTGGTATCTTACCTGCCTGCCTTCCAACTCATAATATGTTGCAAGGAAATTCAAGCAAGCTGTAGGCAAATCTAGTTTCTGTTTCTGAAAATAGGAAAAAAGTGCACATTAAAAATAACAAAGAATAACTGAAACAAAGGTTTTTTAGGAAATGAGAAATTAAACATACTTTTTATGCCACGTGTGATGAAATCACCTCAGTGTTTTCAGAATTTATTATGTTTAATAATTTCTTAAACAGAGAGAGACAAAGAATTATATTCACTAGGCACTAAGCCCTAATAATAATTAAACCATGTGGGATTTAAAATTGTTTCCAGTCCTTAGCTCAGACAAAGCAACCAATCTTTGTTTAATATTACATAACATTACCTTATCAAGATAATCTTTTCACCTGAGTGAAAGTCGGCCACAGATATCCAGCCTTACTAGGCCCTTTGAATAGGCCAGATCAAGGGAACTGACTTGGTCTAGGAAACTCCAGACATCATGGGGTCCCCTGGACTGACTATTCACATCTGTCAGTGACACTGGCTGGGACTAGATTTTCCCACTAAAGAATGTTTGATCAGAGTAGGGTCAGTCAGAATTTACTGATAGGCACAATGATAGATTATTGGGTCTGTCAGGTATTTCAAGTGGGGAGGGGGGGGGGGAAGCTTAGATTCTCTCCAGTAGGGTAGGTTAGATACTAGAAAAGGGGAGGAGTTTAACTTTGAGGACAAATTAGGGTACATATGATCACTGCTAGGCATCTAAAATTTACTTCATAGTGCTGCCAGCAGACCATAAACTCAGATCAACAGTAGAAAGTAATTCTAGCTGTTTGAGTTCTGTTTGGCAATTTGCTAGAATGTTCCTAGCTCCCATCGGGTAAAGAACAGTCAGTTCTGATAACAGAAACAGAGGGTCCACATGCACAAACCTACACTGCATGGGAGATCGGCAAGCTGGGAACAGGCGGAGAAGGAGGTAGAACAAGCTGGGAAGAAGCTGGAAGAAGTGGAAAACCTTGACAGGGCCTCACGGCTGTCAGAGGTTTTATCTTGTATTACTACTAAGTTACGTTCATATTTTGTTTGTAAACTTATCATCATCATTATAACTTCACTCTAATCTCAGGTGCTCAGTTCTCTAGCTGAAGCATCTCATTACCACCATACCATCACTGTTTAATCAAATATTTTAGAAATGACAAATGTCATCTAAATGATTGCTAATGTAATAAATCAAATATATGGTTTTATACTGCATCGTTTGTCAAATTAACAGTGTTTGTTATTACATGTTTAACTTAACTGTAAGACATAATTGCATTTGGTGGGGGCTGATTAATAATTCTTTACCAGGAGGAGGTACCCGGGAGGGGTCACCTGCCCTGTCTAGTAATTCATTAATTATAATAATCTAGACATCTAAAACTCCTTTCCTTCTCCTGTGGGTACCAAGTGCAGCTGCTGTAATTTTACATAACGAGCCAAATATGGCTGTTTTCTTAGATATCCAGGACTTTGTCTGAGATCAACATAGCTCGGATATTAGTACAGTTTCTCAGGTGGAGGTGAAGTGTTGAGAGGAAAACTCCTACTCATTACAAAAGCATCTATCCACTTCGGGACTAGCGACACAACAAAAGAAGAAGAATCTTTGTTTTTCAACTTTCATCTGTCACATGTTTCAAGTTTTTCTCTTCCAATTATTTTGCAAAAATGAAATTATCTCTATTCTGAAGTTGTGGTAAGTTGTTTCTGTGTCTTAATCTCTTTAAAAATATGTAGATTATTCATTTACAAAACCAGCAAACCAATTATGTTTACTGGATACACTTTACTTCAATTTTCCAAATTTACATCATTATTTTTAATGTTTATGAAAATGAAGCTTTTCCCTTGTAACAAATTCAAACCATGAAGCCATCACCATTCACATGTCTGAGTATGTTCTTCTTATTCCCAAACGCAGCCACTTCAGCATCCAATGATTCAAGTGTGCAACAACCCCCCCTCTGCCTGCCTGCACATACACACGCACACAAAAGAGTCAATAATTTAATAAAGAAAGCAATAAACTACCAACATTTCAGTTACAGTCAGACAAGTGGTATTAGGTTCGAATCTGCACTGAGTTATGTTTTTCAGAAATGACCTTCATTGACAGGCCAATGCAGCCTAAAATGGGCATGAAGTAGACAGCTGGAAGTAAAGGCAGCCAGCATGATGTTGACCACCACTGAGTGCCAGTTGGTCTACAACAATATGGTTATAGCATCAGTCTGATATGGAGTGAAAAATATCCCTTACTTTGTTGTTGTTGCTTATTTGTGTGTTTAAGGACAAGTGAGACAGGAATCTATGTGATTATGTCACAACCAGCATGAAACAATCAAATAATTACCACAAACTAAAATAGAACAACTCCACGAGAAACAAGAAACCAACCTTGACTGGATATGAAGTTGATAGGTCATTTAAAACATGAATTGTGTATGCTTTAATTGGATACAGTATTTCTGTCACATGACTCCAGTTTGCAGATGTGAAAGTTGTTTCCTCACTTCTTCCATAATCTGAGCTGTAAATAGACAGAAGAGCAAGAATGATAAACCTGCTAGAGAATGTGGTACTGTATCAATATGGAACGCAATTTTTCGTTATTTTAAAGCTCCACTCCGGCTGTTGTTGGGGATCCCCTAATATAACCTAATGGTTGAATGGGGATTCTGGGACTTGCGCTTGGATAATTCTCATCCCATTGTCACTGCGTGTTTATCATTTGTGTGCAGTCCTGTTAGGCTTGAACTTTATTCATTCATTTGATAAACGTGCTACAGGATAATCTGACACAGTCAAAAAAACCTGTATTCTAACCAAATGTGTTTTAAGGTGAATGTTTAAAGTCAAGAGGATAACTTAACTGCACCAGGTTTGATCCCATATGACTTGATCTATCTCTACAGAATGGCTAACTGCCGTCAAGCAATTCTATAGCTCCAAGGATGAAGCAAATGGCTCGATCCCTTCACCATAGATTCATCTCATCCAGCAAGCCCCACACAATAAACAAGAGCCATGACAGCAACCATCTATCTTCCAGTTTCTCAACAGAGATTATAATATTTTTGTATAGATCACTGGAATTATTGATAAATGGCTACAATTTGGTGCAGCTTCAGAAGAAACTACTTGGAAAATTTTTGTATAGATCACTGGAATTATTGATAAATGGCAACACATTTGGTGCAGCTTCAGTAGAAATTACTTGGAAAAATTTGTTGTATAGATCACTGGAATTACTGATAAATGGCTACACGTTTGGTGCAGCTTCAATAGAAACTACTTGGAAAAACATGCAAACAACACAATTCTTTTTCTGCTCTTTATCCCCCAAAGCAGCATAGGTTCTAACTCAATAAACCAGAGCCATCTAAAGACTCAATAATTTACAAAAGCTGTGCCATCACAGATTAATGATCTAGTGTCATAAGAGACTGATTTATGAGAGTTAACCATCTCCGAGGTGTAGAGGTGTCATCATGGCATGGTCAGATCATCTGTGTCAGAGCTGACTGAAAGTACACAAGAAAGAAGGTTGTAAATAAACATAACTACTTTAAGAAGTTCTTGTCTTGATTATTTCATGGCGCCAAGCTATTACTGTTTTTTTTATCCTTCTGAATTTGGTGTGCTCCTTTTCCACCAAGGTATAAATGCAATACCTAAGGTTACTAATGTTATTTTTATGACATCTTAAACAATGACGAAAAATGACTTTCTAACCTGTTGAACCCCTCCTGCAGGGTTGAGCTGTAACCTGCCACACACAAGACCTTTTCCAGAACACAAATCATTCTCACATCAAGGGTGAAAGGATCATGTGCCGCCTTCTCCATGGTGGAAGAGTCACATGACAGCAACCATCTATCTTCCAGTTTTCCAAGAGAGAGGAGAATACTGCTGTACAGATCACTGGAATTAAATGATAAACAATGGCTACAAATTAGGTGCAGCTTCAGTAGAAACAGCTTTAAAAGACATGCAAGCAACACAATTCTTTATCTACCTCTTATCCCCCAATGGAGCATAGGCCCTCATGCAAAGTCGACATTTCCTTTGGTACTGTATGCAGCTCACCAATGTCTTCCCTAACTTTACTCCTTAGCTCCCCTCTCCATCATCGTTGTTTTTTTTTTTTTTTTTTTTTTTTTTTGCAAAACATATTTCAAGCAAAATTTCTAACTAAAATAAAAAAAAAAAAAAAAAATGATGCACCAAAGTTAACCTCAGGATTTTAATATACACAAGTACAAAATTCATCATCATGTAGAATGATGTTCTTCACCCTGTGACACTGCCACTGCTTGAGCTATTTTACATTTAATTTACTCAATAAACTTTCCATCTGCAGTTATGGTATGCAAACAACCACATTGACCTCCTTCAAATTAATTCCATGCTCTGTGTTGAGGGGCAGGTGAAGTGCATGGAGGTTTATAGCAAAGGCGAATGGACGTCGCTTAGTGCAACAAAGCCTGGCATATGATGTCTTCCACTGGCTTACACACATGGCGTGATTGTACCTGACTCACAGAGCATGTTGAAAAAGGTGGAGACCATTATGCTCCATGCAGAGTGGCAAGCATCACTTTAGAAGTTCCGGGTAGTTAGCATCTTTTGGATATTCTCTCCAGGTTATGCTGTGTGTGTTGAAAATGAACAGGCAGACAGACTGGCTGGTTCTGCATCACTTTGTGGTGAACTGATGTATGACAAGCCAGATGTTGTGAGTGCCCTCTGGAAGCGAGTGAACAGTGCGGAAGCACAAATAGATCATTATGGTCTGAGGAGAAAGGCACTGCGAGGAGTTACTCAGGGATCTGGCTGATGCTCAACACTCAAGGGAAGGACGAGACAGATGTACAATCAGACTGGTGCTATTGGAACTGGAACTCGTTTGCTGCTGAAGATGGGGATGGAGCACTTATGGGGGTGTCCCGAGTGCTGTGATGTTGATTCTTAATTCTTAATTCAGATTAATTCCATTTATTTTCAGGTTGTTTTATGGAGAACACATTTTCTTTGTAATCCCCAACTTTTCAAAATAAGGCCTTTGACTTGACATATGGCAGCACGGGGGTGACGTATACAAAACTGCACACTGTATTTAAAAAGGTTTAAAAAAAACAAACAATGTTTACTTACAAATAAGTCTGCATTGCCAATCCATAAGAAACACAAACCCTCCACGTTCCCAAAGACTCTCTCTGAAGGTCAACAGCTTCAGCAAAAGGTAAGTGTAAATCCCTGCACAAAACAGAAATATAAAACAGTAACTTCTTAAAAGCATTAAAAACTGGGGTGCTTTCGCAATATCTTACCCCAGGATAATGTCACAGGACAGTCCCATATTTCTGAGGGTGGTGAGAGCGGGTTTCCTGGCTTTCTGATGCTTTCAACTACCCCAAAACATCTAGAACTGAGCCTAACTCCAACCCACCTACATCCCACGAGAGAGTGCAGCCCAAGTCCAATGACTGCCTGCAGCTTATCTACCACCCCCTAAAATATTTGACTGCACCAAACAGGTGCATGTTAAATTCTTAACAGAATTACGAAAAAGTGCATGATAATTTTTCAGCAAAAGCAAATTATGGATGTTAGCCATGGACTATGTCACAAACACTGTCTACATTTACTACTTTTAACAACAGTGCGATTAGGAAGATCTTGAGCCTCAGGACTTAGAGCGACATGGCTAGTGCAGTCCGCAAACTATGCAGGTTCTTATTTCAGGGTTCATAGCCAAATTTATCAATCAATTTCAAGGCTTTTCAAGGTCCTTTTCAAGATCTTAGTTTTTTTCAAGATTGTCTTAGTGTAATACTAAAACAAGATTTTTGCCTTGTTCAAGGGTGTACCGAGCACACAATGTACTTCATTTGTGCCACACATGTTGGTATACCAGCACATTTATCATCATCATTATGTAGCAGGTCCTTTGTCCTGAAAGAAACTCGGTCTCTCACCAGCTCTCCCGTCTCATGTACTTTCATACTCAAGGAGTCACTTATATCCTGTGCCCATCTTCAGGTTGGTCGGCCCCTTTGCTTGATATAGTGTTTGTAAATATTTTTTTAAGACTTGGGGGTAGAGGGCAGAAAACTGAAGTCCTGTCTGTTCTGGACCTGGTACCTGAAAGGGTAAGGGGGAGAGAAAGAGAGTCATACAGAGAGGGAGGAAGACACATGCTGAGGTAGACTGGGAGAGACAGTGTAAAGATGGACAGATGAAGGGAGAGGAAAGAAGGGAAAGGAGTCTGGGGAAGGAGGAAAAAATATGACAACGAGAGGGAGGGATGGAGACATGATGGGGGAAGTGGGGAAGGGACAGCGAAAGACAGAGAGGGAGACAAATACAGAAAGAGGGAATGCAGATACAGAGATGGGCAGATGAAGAGATAAGGAAGAAGGGAAAGAAACACAGAGATATGGAAGGAGGAAAATATGACAAAGAGAGTTGAAGGAAGGGAGACAGAGGGAGAGAGAATGGACAGGGAGAGAAGCAGATGCAAGCAGAGACAGATGTAGACATAAAGGAGAGAGAGACAAATATATTTTAAATATTTTCATTACCTTGCAGTGGAGCCCAATGAGAACTCATATCACTTTTGAACTTATTGTTACAGAATAAACAAAGACCATATTTAAGGTAAGGATTCTGAAAAATGTGGCTCAAACTGGCTTAGGAAGAAAATAAATGGAAAGCATGATTCACGAAAAAAGAGGTAGGGGGGATTAAACATCATCAAAATTAGATACTTGGAGAGATCTTGGGTGTGAAAAATATACACAAAGCAGGGAAATTGGCAAGGGACCAAGATTTCCAGTAAGTCATGATTAAAGCGATCTTCTGCTAACAACCTGCTACATGATGGTTACCTACTAATATTATAAACTGCTTATGAATCAGTGTAATGTTATACACACACAAAAGAACAGATACAGCCCACATGATCAAAAGATGGATGGATGGCATGTCAGTTATCAAACAGCTGTACAGCCAGGATAACATAAAATAAAATAAAAAAATAAAAAGAAACCAGTTTAGTTTACTTATCTAGCTACATGACTGCCAATATATACTTGGAAATAAATTGAGATATACAAATTAGTTTTTGTCTTTTTTTTTTTTTCTGTGGGAAAGGAAAAAAGGGAAAAAAAAGGAGGGGGGGGGGGGGGGGGAATTAGTTGCTTGTCTTGTATTTTACCAAATGTTACAAATCAACCACAGCATTTGTTGATGGTTTGCAGTTTTAATAGGACATGTTACATTCAGTAATTTGCCACTACTTTCTGATCAGTGCAAAGTTCCTACCAATGTCAAAATCAACAAGCAGTCTGCATACAAATGAGTCAGATCTGTAAACACTCAGGTTCTGGAACAGGACTGCAGTCCAGAAGTGGACTAGCAACCAGAGCTTTCTGCCGGAGTTTACAGCTGGTGAACGCGAAGAAGAAGAAGAAAATCAACAAAAAGAAGCCTGGTGGCAAATTGCCTGCATCAGATTTCAAAACTAGATATTGTCAGAATTATGCAACCACATCCATTTTTGTCCAGAAAATGTACTTTACAACTGACAAAAGCCAAATTATTATAGAGTAGTAGTTGACTGAGTGGTTAAGAACACTATGTTCTCATGCAGGAGATCCAGGTTCGAATACTCGATTAAGCCCTGGATATTTTTCTTTCCAGGGCAAAAATATAATCCTAACCTGCAGTGTGTGCAACAGCACTAGCCATGCGGTCCTAAGACCATCCACTCCCACACAAAAATGGTAAATACAGACAGTAACTGGCATTGAATTTCAGCTTCTCTGTAAAATTCCCCAAGGACTGAGCACACTTGGAAAATCGTAAGGAGTCTCTGGTGATGTGGAAATACAGAAGAATACATTATAAGTGAGAAAGAGGCAAGGAAGATACAAGTGGGGGATAACATCAAGAGATGGACAAACAGCAGTCTGAGAGAGTGTACATCCTGGGTGAAAGAAAGAGCCCAATAAAATCCAGATTGCAGCCAACCATCATTGTTGACGCAACACCTGGCTGATTGACTCAGCACACTATTCCGCTGACCTGGTACATGTTAAATCAGAGACAGCTATCACTTTTTGCTGACCTGGAACATGTTAAATCAGAGACAGCTATCACTTTTTGCTGACCTGGTACATGTTAAATCAGAGACAGCTATCACTTTTTGCTGACCTGGTACATGTTAAATCAGAGACAGCTATCACTTTTTGCTGACCTGGTACATGTTAAATCAGAGACAGCTATCACTTTTTGCTGACCTGGTACATGTTAAATCAGAGACAGCTATCACTTTTTGCTGACCTGGTACATGTTAAATCAGAGACAGCTATCACTTCTCTAGGTCAGCCTGACCATCCCCTTTCATATAAATAAACAATAAATGCACAACCACAGGGACATAACTCACCTGCTTGGTAAAGCCAAGTAACGGAGTAGTCGGACATTGAGCTGATGTTTTGAAACCTGGTCAAAACAATGGCAACAATGAACTAAGCAGCCATATCATAATTTTCTTGTCACTTACAAAACAAATGCTAATTTAAAGAGGAATTATAACAGCACACATATAAGAGAAAGTTAAAGGTATTGAGGGGGGGGGGGACATTTCTGTACAGGTGTGCATTTGAATCATGAGGTATGAAATGTCAAGAACACAGAGGAGAAGCAGTCTTGGAGGAATATTTTGACTAATACCAGGATACAACAACAACAACATCATGAGGCATGAAGTCAGCACTAGCGATCAAGGTTAGAGAAAAAATACAATGAAGACTTCCACACTGGGGCAACACGAGTAGTTATTCCCATGTAACACATTATTTTTATGAAGCATTCTTAGAGCCTGAAGATGAAAAAAGAAAAGCTCTAGAAATGTCTCTTAGTTTAATTCTTCATTGTGACTGAATTCAGAGTGTCAAATAAAGTAATCTACATTCTGTGGGCATTGTGTGAGAAAGAGGGGATAGATTACATAATAAGAAACAAAAGAAAAAAATTGGAACAAGAGAGCCAGGAGGAGACAAAGATAGAAGATAAACAGTCTGGCACCGTGGCATAGAGACATTTATAACAGAATAGTTGGCGGTAAAAGAAACATAATACTGTGCACAGATATAACCAATGCTACACCATGTGAACCGAATGAAGAAGCACACAATCCACCATTTGAACAGTAGACATGTGAGACCACCATGTCTTCACCTAAGTGACTGTACTGATAAAGAAACAAGAAAAAAAATTTATAACAATACCACAATTCTGGCCTTCTATATGACTGCTCTTGTCAGGTATGCTAAGTTGATCATGCACTAAAGCTCAACTGATCCCACAGCAAGGCACTGTCTTCATCTGGAGGCGATGGGTTAGAGTCCTAGTAAGCTAACTACAGCCTTCAACTGTTACGTCCTCTAGAGTGTCCTCCAATCTCTACTTCTTTCTATGAGTGCCGATCAATACATGTTAATTTGTTTACCATACTGTTTCTATGGCCCCAAGAATTCCCTAGCTATTTGTCTGTTGTCTGCCAGCAGTGTTAGCCATGCCTAGGATTGTAATTCTACTTGCAGTGGGGAAAATCTGTGGCTTTGCCAGGCTTGATAACCCATGCTGCAATCATTGCTGTTTGCTAGGGTTAGATTCCCATGGTAGGCGGTTTAAGGAAAAAAACTGTACTCAAGGCTTTCTGACAGAGGTATCAGTCACATCGTAAAAGACACTGGTACTTCAATATGTAATATTCTGCAAAATGGCAGTAAACAGATATACTGCAGCTAACTTTCATAGTGGAGATAATAATGTTTTATTTCACTGTAAACTTTAACCTGTGTTATTCTGTTTGGTGTATCTTATAACAATAACAGTAAACAATTAGAGTTATCTTACCATGATGGAAGCCATGTTTCTGCCAGCTTGGCATAACACTTGCATAAAATGCATGGCAGCTGGGACTGGCAATCCATAAACACATGACACGGGTTTACTGCAATCTGAAAATTGCAATTATTTTATTTTAATTATAACAACAAAATGTTTAAACATATTTGGAACAGGCAATTGTTTCCAAGTTCAAACAGTATAGTAAAGTGACTATCAGCTATTTCATGCACCAGATGGTCAATGCAAGTGAACACTGGAACAACCAATAATTTTTTTTATTTTAAAGTCACAAGTGTTTCACTTTCCTAGAGGCCAAATACATACATCATAAAAATACATACACAGAAACATACAGGCACACATGAAATACTAATTGGTGCACATGAAGAATAGACAATCCTAATAATACACTAATTGGTGCATATGAAGAATAGACAATCACACATGATACACTGACTTGTGCTCATCAAAAAGGCTAGACAATCATTTATCATATGTGATTAGTGCATATGAAGAATAGACAATCACACATGATACACTGACTTGTGCTCATCAAAAAGGCTAGACAATCATTTATCATATGTGATTAGTGCATATGAAGAACGGACAATCACACATAACTGTTGACTGGTGCATATGAAGGAAAACAACATATACTCAATATGCTTCTGGGTTTGAAAAACTGCAAAAAAAAAAAAACTTGTTTAAGAATGATTCCATCGAACAGATGTCCAGGATCTTGACAAGATGAATGAACTGATATGGTCCAGTGTCTGGTAGTCTGAGTTTCAGCTTCATAGCAAACGGGTCACCCCATCTTTGCTCCGCTCCTGTGCCAACGAAAAACACACAGAATGTTTATTACAGTATTAGAATTGCAGTTCATCATTGATGGTAGCAGAAGTCACCAACAGATCAGCAGTTGCCCACGCGATCAATTTTAATCACATGCGGGCACCACAACACTGCACGATAGGCATCGCGCCATATTCTGAATCTACAATTCACACCAACACGTTGGTCACAGTCGAAAAAACATTCTAAATGCAATCCGCAGCTCACAGGGTCACGCCATGCATTCAACTCAGAAGCTGGGCGACGAAACTATATCCAGTCTACAAATGGAGCAAAAATGCATCGGCCACGGTCCGGCAGAAGCAAAAAATTTGCCTGTTTCAAACAGTGCCGCTGCCTAACGTCCATTTTGACCGGAAGATATGGTCCAGTGTCTGTATGTGCCTGATGTATTAAATAGACTATTATCATCATGTGCCCTGCCAACTGGCATAGGTGCTCGTGAGTCTCCACAGATCACGATCCCTGGTTGCCTGGAACAGCTCTCTTGATGATATCCCTTCATGCCACCATTTCAGCCCATCCAGCATCATCTCTCTTGGTCTGCCTCTACCCCTTATTTCACTGATCTTTCCAGTTGTCATGATGTTCTCCAATGTCTTTCTTCTCGTTATTTGGCCAAAGAACTGTTTGTCTTTCATTAGCTTCTTTCAAGCAATCATTGTTAGTTACTGTGGTCGTCCAAGGTATTCATAACATTTGTCTCAGAAACCATATCTCTGTTAGTAAAGTAAAGATCCCCTTTCACACTTTTCAGACACATCGGGTATATGGGAAGAGCACCAATATTTTACAGACCAATCGGCACTAGGTCGGTAATATGGTCAGCATTACGCCGGCCATCTTTACTTCCCTAGGACATACATCCTGGTACTCATTTTAGGCTGGGTCGACCTGCGACGCACCATACCACGATAAAAATTCTTGCAGCCAGCAGTGGGTTTCGATCACGATACGTTGGAATTACAAGTCTGGCTCGCAACGCCTAAGCCACTGGACGCCACAGTCCCACATCTCTGTTGCTTCCAAATTCTTCCTAATTCTTCAAGAATATACTACCTGGTAATACACCTTTGATATGAAATCATAAAGCTTCAGTTGAACTTGGATTAATAATTACCAGGAGGAGTCCAGGCAGTTGGTAAAAAGTCTGTCATAACAGTGTCAACAAGTCCTGGGCATTTCAAGATCTGTTGGAGAAATGATATTACATCTGAATAGACTGAATAAAACACAACACACGCCAACAGTGTAGAAAGATAATTGTAAAATTATTCCACTGCATATACTTCCACTGCTAGAAGATGTACACTGTTATGAAAAGAGGGATGAGTGACAGTTAAGTTGCTATCAATTAAAGATAAACAAAGACAATAGTTCAATGTGAGGCAACAATTAAACTGTAAAGACAAAGTGCTGAAATGCCACACACACAAAAAAACAAAAAAAAACTGTCTAAACATAATAATCTGTAAATACTACAAACAACCACCTGTAAGGAGTTACAACAATTAAATGTCTAAATGTATAAAAATTAGCTATAACAACAAATAACAATAAACTATTAACAAACAAGGAAATAATTATCCATCGAGAAAAAGACAAAATTATAATGGTCAAGGCAAAATTAACTTAAAAGAGAGAGTAAAATTAAGCAAAGAAAAAAAACAAATAACTGGAAAAAAAAAATACAGATTTACTGTCAAGACAAAGAACAAATACAACTGTTAAAGAACAAGTTTTAAAAAAAAACCATCTGACTCTGAATATAGGACAATTCTAAATTTTTTAGAGCAATTAAGTCAAAACAAGGAATCTTTATACATTTTCAAGAATAAGTTGTCATGACAAAACACAATTAAGTTTCAAGACAAAGTTCAATTATAACTGTCAAAGAATAAGTAACTGTCAAGACAAAGGAATATTACCTGTTAAAACAAATAACAATGAAGTGCCAAGACAGAAAACAATTAAGCAAAGACAAAGTACAATTCTCTACAAAAACACACATTTACTGTGAAGTCAAATAACAGTTATAACTATTAAAAAACAAGCATTAATCAATGTTATGTGGTCAGTGATGAGAAGAAAGTCGTTGAGAAAACACTGTCATAATTGAAACGATCAGTTGAAGAGGAGGTAGTAGTAGACAGTGGGAGATGATGCAGAGTGCTTCAAGATGGTGACAGGATGGATCCAGAACACCATGGGTCAAAACACATATAGAGAACAATTTGTCAAGCCCACATTAATCATGACATCATATATTTTAAACTGCAAAGCAAAATATGGACTATCTCCCAGTCCTTAAGAAAGAGAATAGGGGTTTTTGAGCTGAAATGCTTAAGAAAGATTCTCAGAATATCTTGGACAAAGAAGAGGAGAAATATTGACATCTTAAAAGATCTGAAAATTAGGGAAGATTAACTAATAAACAGCATCCTGTCTCGGAAGCTGAAATATTTTGGTCATATCAAGCACCACAACGGACTGGAAAAGATAATAGCAGAAGGCGTGTACCAGGAAGGAGGGGCAGGAGACGACCAACACGAAGATGGGCACAGGCTATAAGTAACTGCTTGAATATGAAAGTACATGAGGTGAAAGAGCTAGCGAGAGACCGAGTTTCTTTCAGGCAGACCGTGATGAGAGCGACATTCTGCAAAGGACCTGCTACATGATGATGAAGCAAAATATACCATAAAACTTCCATCAGGATATAATCAAAAGCTAGCTGTCACTTTAGGATGACCTCCCATGCCTCCCAATAATATAACTGAAAGCACAGTCATAATCATCATGTGCTCTGCCAATAAGCATACACTGTCTAGTTTCTATATCTCACATGATCACCACAGTCACAGATCAGGTCAGTGCTCCTGTCTTGTCCTATCAATATGGCTAAGCCATCCACGTACTCATCTCTTTGCCTTCCCCTTTCTCTCCCCAATCAATCTAAATCTTGCCTGTCGTCACCAAGTTTTCGGGCCCATTCCTTCTCATAACGTGTTCCCCCGAAACAAATTTAACTATCAGTTTATGGTTTTCATCCGTCTTGAGGAGGGCTGCCTTATTTGTGTTTTTTTCCCCTCAATTATTCTATATTCTTTTCTGCATTTAAAAAAAACACATTTTCACTGTGGGTTTTAGTGAAAGCACAGAAACAAAAAAATTCATCTTTTGAAGTAGGAATGCATCTGCCTGAATGTCGAATGTTGACTTAAGAATCGACATGTGCTCTATCTTTAGCAGCAAGCGAAGAGTTCCAATTCAGATTACACCAGTAGCCATCTGACTGTATATCCGTCTCATCCTTCCCCTTAGCATCGGCCAGATTCCCTGGCAAATCCTCGCAGCGCCATTCTCCTCAGACCGTAATGATCCATCTGTGCCTCCACACTGTTCAGTCGTTCGCAAAAGGCCCTCACAATATCTAGCTTGTCATTCATCAATTCACCACCAAGTGGTGCAGAGCCAGCCAGTCTATCTGCCTGTTCATTTTCCTGCTAACTACCCAGGACCTCTGAAGTGATGCTTGCCATTCTGCACGAAGCATGCTTGTCTTAACCTTTCTCAACATGCTCGGAGAGTCAGTTACAATCATGGCATGTGTGTACAGCTGATTCTCAAGCCAGCGGACAGCAGCAGAGACTGCCTCCACATCTATTCTCAAACTAGACCTTGGATATCATATCTGCATCTGCCTGACAGGCAAGGAACCGTCAGTCTGAATACAAAAAGCCAGATCTATAAAACAGATGTGCATGCACAACTTAGGTTCTGGAACAAGACTAAAGTCCAGAAGTGGATGAACAGCCAGAACACCAAAGGTTGCAACAGGTGAATACAAAGAAGAAGTCAGAAGAGGAAAGAAAGAGAAGACTAGAAAAATCAAACAAATATTGTCCTATCATAAGCTACCTCATATGCCATATTGCCAGAATGCTGAGCTGCTCTTGTAAGGATCTCAAGCATCTGAACTACAGTGGCAGCCTGGGGTCTCATAGACTGGAATATGTAGCGAAACCTGACAAGGAGCTCCATCCGTTTGACTAGAGCCTGCAACAATACACAAGATAGGAAATACATAATGTATATGTCAGCTTTACAGAATTAATTACTATAAAGAAACAAAAAGCACTACAGTGATTAGCCTTCATCAGCAGAACCATGATGAGGGGAAAAAACCCACAAAAATAAACTGATTCTAAAATGACTTCATTATGGTGTTCAAATAATGAGTAAAACAAATATAACAAAATAATAATAATATAAATAAAGTAAAGGACCCTCTTCCCCGCCTACAGGTGTACCGGGCATATAGTGATAAACCTTTATTTTACTTCCCACAATTTTACCTAGAACTCATAACAGATTGAGTCCATCTGGCAGCCAAAGTCATTTTTTTTTAGTTTTTCTAGTTGAAAAAAACGTTATATATATATATACACACACACACATACACAAACAACATACATACAAGTGCCCAAGTGGAACACGAATAATACAGTTATGATTTGGAATGATAGGCATCCCCCAAAAAATAAAAAGATAGCCATCATGCCAATTGAATATAAGTATGTTCATGGCAAACAGTCAAGCACAGGGATCCATGATAGTGCAGTGGCAAGCACATTTGTATGTCAACTCATTGGCCCTGTGTTTGAATCCCGCTGAGAGTGAATTTAAACAAAAAGAACTGACCCTGGCTCCCATGTAGTTCCAACCTTAATGGGTACTAGAAAAAGTTCTGGAAAAAGTAGCTGGCCAAGTGACTACAATGCTGGGCTCTCATCCAAGAAAGGATAAAAATAAGCATCCCAACCTGCACAGTTCATGGCAACTGTTCTTTCCATGCAGGATTAAATCCTCAGGCTTATGACTCCCCCTTTCGTCTTCTAATGACTCCCCCTTTTGTCTTCTTCTGCCCCTCTAACCTCTCAATGCAGCATATGTCCTTAACCAACTCACGCCAAGTCGTTCTATCCTTTGCTATCGCATGCAGCTCACCCTATGTCCTCTCCATCTTTTTTATTTAACTCTCTAGTTCTCTATTCCATGTTTTTTTGGTCTTCTTATTTTCTATGCCCTGGGGATTCCAGTGTAAAGATATTCTAGTTATACTGTCCTCAGGTTTTCCCAACGTGTATCCTATCCAACGAAAGCATCTTTTCTTCACCTCTTGGTCTACTGGAGCCTGTTTTTTTCTCCCAACTTCTTCTTCCATACTACCCTAAAAGGTCATACTGCCAATTACTGCCTTCATATACAACTTTTGCGGTGTAGGCAGGGAGATCTTTGAGCCCGAGGATTTAAGGCCGCTTGGCTGGTACTGTCACCACAACTGTGCAGGTGAGGATTTTATTTTGCCCCCGACAGAAATTTTTTTCGCTTACCGAGGATTCAAAGCTGGGTCTCCCGCTTGAGAGTTCAGCGTTCTAACCATTAGGCCAGCTACTCCTCAAAGGTGGTACTACATTAAAAAGTGGTATGGCACCAAAGGCTTTATAAACAAGAGAAACATTTTAACAAACCTCAATAATGTCTCTTCTAACAACATCAGCATCTGTCTCTTCCTCCTTGTTTTCTTCATCAGTATCCTCAGACTGGGCCTCCTTCTCTAATGTAGCTGAGGGAGTCAAGGCTGCACTGAGGTTGCCCAGGAACCAGGCCCACGTAATGTCAGCAGCTTCCTAGGAAGAACAAATTATGATAAGATAGGTAAACTTTCTTCTTCTTCGCATTCACCAGATGTAAACTCTGGCAGAAAGTTCTCATTGTTTGTCCACTTCTGGACTGCAGTTCTGTTCCAGAACTTGAGTGTTACGTGTGCATCCGTTTGACATATCTGACTAATTATTTGTATGCAGACTGTTGGTTCCTTGCCTCTCAGGCAGATGCACTCCGACTTTGAAGGAAGCTCCAAATTAGTCGACTCTTACGACATGCTTTTGGGTAGGCAGTGGGTCTATTCTTGTTTTCCCTATAACAGGGCCCCGGAAACAACATACGGAGAGATAGGTATACTATTACTGAATGTTTATTATGATTTAGTTTTGTTAGCTAAAACAGAACACAATGTCCTAGAATTAGTAAACTAAGTATACAAACTAAGCCTACAAAAATAGCTTAGGCTTAAATAAAATTTAAAAAATATGATTATCAAAAGGGATGGCTCAGCTCAAATTTTAAATATTAAATAGAAAGACATGTGAACTGAACAGGATTTCCTATCTAAGAAATTTATTTCTGTTAGACAGAAGATTTGAACTAGGTCTCTCGTATGACAGCCCAGTGTTCTAACCACGTTGCAGCTTAGTTACAAATAAAACATGAGTGTGATGAAGTGTTGCATTTACTCTGCATGATTGTATGGCAACAAATTAGGGGCACTTCCTTCAAAGTCAGAGTGCGTCTGCCTGAAAGGTTGGGAGCACAAGGTCTGCATACAATTAAGCCAGATCTGTCAAATGGATGTCATGCAAAACTCAAATTCTGGAACAAGAACAAAGTCCAGAAGTGGACCAACAAACAGAACTCTATGCCAGCGTTTACTGCTTGTCAATGCTAAGAGGTATGACAGACACTACATATCCCACAGTACTTTAAACAGACCAGAAGGAAGGAAACTGGCCACACTATATGAGCAAAGACAGTCTGTTGGACAGAACAAGCAGAAATAAAAGAACAATCAAGAACTGACATTACTGCATGCAGGACATTCCCATACAGGCTTCGTCCCCTTCCTCTGTAGCCAAAGAAGAGTTCCCTGCAGGTAGAAAATGGCCCAGGCCCTCGACTCACTCCCAGCTCAGTTAGCTTCTCCAAATACTGATGCTATGTCTGTTCTACTCTACTGTTCACTTGATACTGTAAAGTAGCTCATCTCTCAAAGAGGTGGCAACAGCCAATCTATCAGTATTTTTATCACCATATACACCAGAATGTTCTGGGCAAAACAATCCAGGATATGCCTCTTATGTGAGTCTTATCTCGGTACCCTGAGTGCGAGACACCAGTTTCTATTTTTTGCCCCCCAAGCATAAGTATCTATGATGCAGAAGATTCTGAAGAAGAAGAAGAAGACAATGTATGCTACCAGCAACATCAAAAACAGCCATAATCCTAGTCTCTTGGCAAAATTCTGCTAGCAAACTTCACAAGTGGTATAAACATGTTTCAATTTGCTTTTCCTAATTCTATTATTATTTAGTAAACAGAAGAAATTTCAAAACACACCTCATCAAGTGGGCTACACAACAAAGCATGCAACGCATCAACTGCTGCAGCCACAGTTCCCTCGGCTGTGTCATCCAGAGCCCACCGTAACAGCATGACCACACCTCCGGCCAAAATTGCAGGAATTATTGGAGTTTCAATTTTCTCACTCAGATATCCAGATTTTGCCTAAAAGAGACAAGATTTCTTGAGTATCAATAAAGTGTTTACAGCAGTTTGCATGCTAATCTTGTTTATATAGAAATGTGCACTGCAGCTGTAATCATATCTGTCTAAGTCCACATGTAATCATATCTGTCTAAGTCCACATGTAATCATATCTGTCTAAGTTCACATGTAATCATATCTGTCACATGCTTATTAAAAACTGGACATAAAAATGTAAACTCACTAATTGCCAAGAAGTAAGTAAGAGAAAAATTTAGCACAAATGAATTAGTTAGTTAGTTAGTTAAGTTAGTTAGTTAGTTAGTTGGGTTATCCTCATTGCACTCCGGACATGTCCATAGGTGCTCAGATCCTCCCCTCAGTATGAACCCCAACGTCCGATGGCTAATAGCACCAGTTCTATGTTGATTAACAAGTCTTCTGGCGTGTCTGGTGTGCGTCTCGTTTTTTGCTGTGCCGATCTTAATTCCCAAGTCTGCCATTCTGGCGAGTGATGTGGATTCACTGCCACCAAAGTCCTCTATCCTTCCCATTTCTCTGAGGGCATTGATAATATCAGCATGATCCATAGGCTGACCGTCGGTAGTGATAGCGGATCCAGCCAACTTGTCAGCTCTTTCATTTCCATCGACGCCTGCGTGTCCCGGAACAAAAATAAAGGTGACTCCACGCGCAGTGGACTTCTGTAATGATTCAAGCCATTGTCTTCGCACTGAACCTGCCTGAACCCTCCGGATCATACTCATTGAATCACTGAGTATACATACACGGGTGTATTTTTGTGTTTCAAGCCAGGCAAACGCTTGCGTCACTGCCATCACCTCCATCGTCATGCTGCTGGTTGTCATGGAGAAGGCGCCGTTGGCTTCTTTGACTGTTCTGCCCACTGAGCGTGCTGTAAATGCCCATGCGCTTCTTCTTTGGCGTATAACGGATCCGTCTGTATAGATTATTGCATCTGCTTCATCTGAATTTTCACCGATGAGAGCGTTGACCTCTGCATTAACAGCAACAGGATTCTCTTCTCTACATCGCCTGTTGAGTGTGACAATACAGGAAAATGTACAAATAAACGCCTGAGGCACAGGTATCCATTCTGCACCAGGTATGATGTCGGTTAGGCTGCATATTTGCCTAATAACATCTTCTGCCCGACCTAGCCACGATTTTCCCCTCTTCAGACTGTCGCCCTTTTCACTAAAAAGCGCTTGATGCAGTGGGTGTTTCTTATCAGCACATATTTTGAGATATGCCCGAGCCCTCCACATCCTGATCCTTTGGTTCATTGTTGGAAAGTCAAGTAGATACCTCATTGCTCCACAGGATGTGTCTCTTGTGCATCCCAAAATAATGCGCATGGCTTCATTTTGCACCTTTTCGAGTCATTCAATCTGGGTAGCACTGACAGTGAGGATGGCCAGAGCGTATTCAATGGGGGAAAGGACCAGACCGTAGAATAGAAGTATTAGTAGTCTTTGCTCAATATTGGAAGCAGCCATAATCCTCATTGCAGATAGACCTTTGCGTGCTTTTGCTATCACATGGTCAACGTGTTCCCTGAATGACAAGCTGCGATCGAACCTCACCCCGAGAAACGTCATAACGTTGGTTCTGATCAATACATTATCACGCATTTTCACTTCTGGTAAGTCCGACTTGACAACGTGATTGTTCAAAGAGAACAATGACACTGATGCCTTCGAAGGATTGACATAGGCATTGGAACCATCACACCAGGCGGCAATTCGATCGAGTTCTTTGTGCATAGTGCTGGCGATCTCCTGTCTATCACGCCCTCGTCGATAAATCAAATTGTCATCAGCAAATGACAAAGTCCTTCCCTTTCCATTCAACTGCTGCTCAGTGATCATCACCGTATAAACGTTGAATAAGACTGGTGATAGCGGTGACTCCTGTGGCAAGCCTGGACATATCGTTTGCGGTTCTGAGGACCAGCTACCACATCTTAGTACAATCTTTCTCTGGAACAGGACCGCAGCAATCCAGCGGATCAGAATAGGATTAACTTCTAGTTTAAGCAGTAATTGCATTAAATAATCATATGGTACTTTATTGTAGGCATAAGCACAAATGAATTATCTACATGAATGATCTAAAAATGACAAAGACAAGAAAGAACACCAGAGTAACTAAACAAAAGCCAGGCAGCTCAACAAGCACAACTAAACTGATAATGAACCTCTTTTAACAACAGCTTCTGTCTCTTCCTCCTTGTTCTATGGGACAGATCTCAGACAGAAACTCAAATAGTACTAACAAATAATATGTAAACTAAAATTATTAAACTCAGCAATAAAATGGATCCAAGAGGATATAATTAATTCTCGTGCAGTGGATTCTTGCTGGACTGTTGATTTCCTACCAGTATCAAAACTCTCAGCCCCATGTCTGTTTTTCATATACATGAAATTTCTGTCAGTGTCACTTTGCAGTCTGAACAATTCGTCTTCCTTTTCTGCAAATCAACATTAAAAAGGCAGCTGGCAAATTGGGTTGTGGTATACAGTGAGGCTGTGATATCTGCACATGTCAGCTCAACACATTTAACTCTAGTGAATTCTTCATTGGTAACCATTTACAACATGTACGTTCAGCAGTAGAGGCTCCACAGAATGGGGCCCCAGAACTCACTTGAGAGTTTGATTAATAAAATATACACAAAATTAGAAAAAACATTATAGCTTTTATATATATATATATATATATATATATATATATATATATATATATATATATATATATAATTATTATAAAATTATTATACAATTAGATTTTGCTTCACATGTTTTAGGAAGGAATGAACTTGAAAACTGGATAACAACCGGCAGGAGAACTGGATAACAACTGGCATGATTGATGGAAAGAGAACCATAGGAAGGCAAACACACATAAACACACTGACATAAAACTGTGATTCTGGTGATTGTGTGAGATGGCCAAAAATACCAAAGCATGCTTACTGGCACATGATGACAATGAAATTAATACATTATATACGATTTTATAAATATTAAAAAATTCACTGTCCAGTATTCATATCCATACAGAATAACAGGCTAAAAACAACTACCCACTAGTGGAGACATTTTTGTTTCATGAAATTACAGTTTCTTAAAGATGTTTGGTTCAGTTACCTGATTAATGACTCTGGCTAAAGTGTGCAGAGCGATGACCCTCTGCTGAAGATTTGAACTTCTTGCCAATAGAAACATTTCTTCCAGAGTGTAACCAGCCCTCTGAGAATGTATGCAAGTTCAGCATTTAACAAATTCACAATGACAAACAGTACAAGCCAACTATATGTATATTGATGACTGAAAGGATACAGTTTTGTCGCGCCAGCTACCGAGTTGAGTGCATGGCGCGACCCTGTGAGCTGCGGATTTCCTTTGGAATGTTTTCCGACTGTGACCAACGTGGTGTTGTGAACTGTAGATTCAGAAAATGGCGCGTCGTCTGTCGCCGCATTATTGGTGGTGCCCTTATGTGATTGACATTGATCGCGTGTGCAACTGGTGACCTGTTGCCGACTTCTGCTACCGTCGATGATGAACTGCATTTCTAATGTCAAACTGTTTGTGTAAGCACTTCTGATGGCTACCGTATGCTTTTAATGTGTGTGTATGCTAGTGCATATGCTGAGACAGCAGTCTGTCAATCTTTCCACAAGGGACTGCGACGAACATTCTGTGTGTTTTTCGTTGGCACAGGAGCGGAGCAACTATGGGGTGACTCGTTTGCTATGAAGCTGAAACTAAGATTACCAAGATTACCATGTAAATTGATATATAATATTAATTTTATGAATGATTTACCCTAGAATTTACAGTCTATATTCTGAAGCTGGAAATGTCAACCAACAACTTGTTATTGCTTACAGCTTTATACTGATTGTAAATCTCAAGTCTCAAAAATTGTATCTGATAAATGGCATGACTTTAGTGATTTTTCATTACATTTATTGTAGTCTAATGCAACATAAAAACCTTACATAATCTAAATACCATATACTACATCAGGAAAATAATTCAAATATGAAATCTACAGCAAGAACAGTCACAGAGTCACTATGCTGTTACTAAGAGATGCTGACACCTTGAAGTGCCTTTAACTACACCTGGTTCTCAACTGCTTATGAGCCTCTAACTTCACTAGGAAACTTCAGCAGGTTTATGAGTTACTTGTGAACCGTCCACCAATATTCCATGCTGTAAGTAAAACATAGCCCACTATCAGCTTCCTTTCCTAATAATCATAAGCACCACAGTTATCTGAAGGGTATCAACATGAATCGTGACAATCTGTTTGTGCTGTCAAATCTGCTAGTCCTCTTCTCAATGCAATGAATATTTAGTACTCTTAAGTAACATTTAAATCAAAGGTGCACTGTGCTTTCAAGCTAATTTGGTTAAAAAAAAAAAAAGTCCATACATTACAAGAAATCAGTTAAAAAGCTCTCCTTAGCTCAACAGTTACAGCAACTGCCCAGGGCTAAGAAGGTCATAAGTTCATTTCATAGCTGCTTTTTTCGGTTTATGTGCAATTATTTGGGGTTAGATTCCTGGGTATTGTCAAAGAAGCTACAGAGCCTGGGCTTTGTTTGACATTCTAAGCAGAAATGAGCTGTTTTGTGGACAAAAACTGAGCCATATAGGAGACGACTCATTAGCATGAAATTGATCCATCATCAGTTCTCGTTATGCCTAGTGGCACATGAGGCTTCAGAGAGGACTTTCCATGCTTTCCTGTCCTGTGCAATCTTCCATGTCAAAGATGCCGCACCCAGGTCACTTTCCATCATTTGTATCCATGTTGTTTTTTTGGGCGCCCCTGTTTTCTCTTTCCCTCTGGTATCCATGTGAGAACTGTTTTGGCGGGTATATCAGGATTCATTCTCATAATGTGGCCAAGCCATTTCCATCTTCTGTTGGTTATCATACTGTCTAAAGTTTCTTGGTTTGTGACTTGAAGTATTTTAGTGTTTGAGATTGTATCTGGCCAGAAAATTTTGATAATTCTATGTAGACATGTGTGGTGGAAGGTGGACAGCTTGTAAGCATCATTTTTGGTCATTCTTCAGCATTCCACTCCATAAAGAAGAACTGGCAAAATGATGCTCTTGTAGAGTCAGAGTTTCGTTCCTCTGCAGTAACTGTTGGATTTCCAGATTTGCCTCATCCTTCCAAAAGCAGCTCTAGCTTTGTTCAGACGTGACTGTATGTCCTCTTCAGTCCCTCCCGGCAGGGACACCACTCTGCCAAGATATGTGAAATGTTCTACATTTTCAAGAGTTTGGTTATTTATGGTCACTGGTTGTTGGTTTGGACTGCTTGTCATGATCTTGGTTTTCTTTGTATTTATTCTCAGTCCCACCATTTCTGCTGTGCTGGTAGTCTGTTACTTTTTTCTTGTATCTGTTCATGTTTATGTGATAGGAGTGCGATATCATCTGCAAAATCAAGGTCCTCAAGCATGGTGAATGAAGTCCATCGTATGCCTCTCAATGTCATGTCTACTGTGTTCTTTAGTATCCAATCAATCACAAGGTTGAAGAGGAGAGATGACATAACACATCCCTGTCTTACACCTGTCTTTACTGGGAAAGACGTATTGTAATTTTTTTTTATACTGCAGGAAAAGTCTTTATAGAAGAGAGCAATTATGTTGACATTTTTTCTGGAATTCCATAATGTCGTAAAATTTTCCATAGACTGTCTCTATGGACCCTGTCAAAAGCTTTCTCAAAGTCCAAAAAATGTATATATATATTTCTCTGCCATTCATTGCATTGTTCTAAAATATTACATATGGCGAAGATGTGTTCAGCTGTTCTCTGCCCTTTCTGAATCCTGCTTGTTCCACTCGTAGGCATTTATCTACTCCTTTTTCAAGCCGCATTATGATGATTTCACAAAATATTTTGCTTGGTACTTAGAGTAGAGTAATTCCCTTCCAATTATTGCAGTCTGTTAAGTCTCCTTTTTTAGGGATTTGGACTATTGTTCCTTCAGTCCAGTCATCAGGCAACACTTCTTTTTCCCAAATATCCTTGAACAATGGTTCTAGAATGCTAGCAGTTGTGTTGGGATCTACTTTGAGAAGTTCTGCTGGCAGTTCGTCTTTGCCTGGTGCTTTGTTGTTCTTCAAATTGTGGATAGCATTAAGGATTTCTTGTTTGCCTGGTGGTTCAGTAATAATGTCAATGTCGTGAGAGGCTGGTTGAATATCTGGGGGATTTTCAGGATTAGGTCTATTCAAGAGGTCGGAAAAGTGTTTAGTCCACTGCATGTCTTGTTGTTGTTCTGCGGTGAGCAGTCTGCCTTGGTTATCTCTGATGGGTATGCTATGATAATTGTTTCTTCTTCCGCAAATTTGCTGGGTAATTTTGTGTAAGGTTTGTAGATCATGTGCTTTAGCAGAATTTTCTGTTGTCTCTGCTAGATTTTCCAGCTAGATTTTCCATAAATCTTCTTTTGTCAGCTCTGGCACTTTTCTTTGTCATTTTATTTAGTTCGCTATATTCTAACATACGTTTGTCTTTCTGACATTCTGATTTAGTGTGATTTATGAGGCTCTTTATTCTTTTTCGCTTGGCAATATAGTCCATGGTTTGACTGCTTATCCATTGTTTGTGATGTTGTTTCCTGTTTCCTAATATGTTGTTGCTAGTTGATTTGTATGTTTCTTTGATCTGGTTCCATCTGTCTTGAATGCTGATTGCATTTTGAGTGTCTGGGTCACTTGATAGGGTTTGAAATCTAATCTTGAGTTCAACTATAAATTTAATGAAGTTGATCCCTTTGACTTTAAACAGTCCATAAAGGTTTTAGTTTCTGACAAAATATACAGCTGTGATATTTTTATTTCAGTGTGATGCCCTGGTGATAATTTAGCCAGAATGTGATAAACTTTTTGAACTTAACAATGAATATATTTACACAACTGACCTCTGGCTCCTCCCCATGGTGGTGTAAGCCCAAGTTGACAGGCACATCCGCATCCACTGCCATAATGTTTCCTTGGAAGTCAAACCTTGCAGGACGCCCAGTCTGCAAACACTGTGTTAATGTCTAATGTGTTAGAAATATGTCAGTACATGTACATGTTTATAGTAAGTGAATGTAAGAGTCACTCTAGGGGGCTGCGTGATCTTGAGGCATGGTGTCTGCCTCAAGTGCTAGAGGTTCCAGGTTCAATCATCGGTAAGGGCTGGGATTCTTTCACGTGGACTTGGACTTCTAGTAATTCCCCCGGTCTCTGGGTAGTGATATCAGACGCTGTGTGCACTGTTGCACACTTTAACACATTTTTAACTCCAAATATTGCCTGGGCAGCGCCATTATGCTACTCTTTCCAACTGCCAAGGAATTTTTACGTGCCTAACAATACACACGGGCATCCAATCTTACTACCTAGAAACCAGGAGAAATTACTAGAAGTCCACGTCAATAAATCCTAGCCTTCATTGGGGCTTGAACACGGGACCTCCAGCACTTGAGGAGAAAGGCAGCCCCACAATGTGGTAACTATCATATTAAATAAGAAATGTAGAAGAAGTAAACAGTACACATAAAATTGTGAAGGTGGCTTTATAGCAGACACTGCCAAGAAGTATGGGCTACAGAGAATAACTGTAAATATCATTGTAACAGAAAGGGAACATTTGTAAACAGTGTATCGAATATCAATGTAACAGAAAGAGAATATCTGTAAACAGTGTATTAAATATCAATGTAACAGAAAGAGAATATCTGTAAACAGTGTATCAAATATCAATGTAACAGAAAGAAAATATCTGTAAACAGTGTATCAAATATCAATGCAACAGAAAGAGAATATCTGTAAACTGTGTATCAAATGTCATTGTAACAGAAAGATAAAATCTGTAAACAGAGTATCAAATATTGTAACAGAAAGATAATATCTGTAAACAGTGTATCAAATATCATTGTAACAGAAAGATAAAATCTGTAAACAGTGTATCAAAGATCATTGTAACAGAAAGAGAATATCCGTAAACAGTGTATCAATTAACACTGTAACAGAAAGAGAGTATCTGTAACAGTGTATCAAAGAGAGAAAAATGATTATTAAAACATGTAAATACCTGTGAATATAATTCAAAACCAAAAATATGTGGAAATATATAAGAGATAGAATGGGTGCAAATATCATACTAAAGAGATAATATGTGTAAATATATAAAAGAAAATATGAATAACATTATAAAAGAGAGCCTATAAGCATATACAAGATGTGTGTAAAATTAAATTTTAAAATAACATATGTAAAAATATAAAAGAAACACGGTCAATTTCATTTCAAAGAGAAATAATGTGTAAATTTTACTTAAAAGAGAGAGAGAGAGAGAGGGAGAGAGAGAGAGAAAGAGAGAGAGAGAGAGAAAGAGAGAGAGAGAACAAATGAATGAACAAACTTTATTTTCAGAGGGTTAAGAATTGAAAGGCCTAACATTTTGCCCTTCCACTACAATCTTTGCATAAGTTATTTAATTATACACCATTTCATAGTTAATAAGAATACAAAATGTTCACAACATCTAAGTCTTAATTAATAAAGCTGGAATGTGCTCTAATTATACTCACATTACTGAACATTTTTAGAAGTATAGAAATAAACCTAATCCAAAAATGTTATAAGTTTAACAGGTTTAATAATTTAAGCATCATCAACAACAATCAAATATTAGTTACAAACGCTGAAATGCGTTCAACTGGCACCTTGATTTTTAAACAATAGTAACATTCAGCAGTTTAAAAAAAAAAAAGACAGCTCATGGAAATACATCATATGCTTAACAAACTATAATCTTTTAAGGGAGCATATAGTCTGCAGTAAGATAATATTCAAATAGTTTTTGACTGTATGTATAGAGGTTAATGATATTTTTGATTTACTGTGGAAGATGATTCCATAGCTAAGCTGCAGAGTATGCTAAGCTTGTTTTGTATAGGTCCATTCTAGATTTAGAGATATGTAATAGGTTAAGGTGTTTGCTATGCCTCCCATTGTATTTAAATAATGGCCAAAGGTAACTTGTGGCATTCTTGGTTTTGATTTATTGAATAGTTTGCGTTCCTGGAGCGGTAATAGCATAAGTTCTTTATATAGGTGTGAATGGTCGCTTCAACAATTATTTTTTATTAAGCGCACAGCCCTTATTTGGAGTGCTTTCAGCCGTTTGATAACTGAATTTTTACATCCATCTCATACTGTAGAGCAATAGTCTATGTGGGTCTGAATATGAAAAGTACTGAATAATTTCCTAGTGTTTTCATCCAGAAAGTTATGTATACATGTGCACCTGCCTGCATGTATGGTGTGAGCAAATTTATCAATTACATGTGATGATAATTAATTACCTGTGATGATACTGAAGATGGTGGAGGCAAGTCCTTCATCCATTCCAGTTTTTCTCCCTCAACTGTGCCCATATTGATCCAGTTTTTGTTTGGCCTCACAGGCAACTCATCCTCCTGAGCTGAAATAACTGCTGTGAATTTGATACCAAAACAAGTTAAGTTCTTATAATCAAGGATAAACTTTCATTTTTTTCTGTCTGCACTGTTGGCATCTTTATGTTTTTGCAGACAATGTTTCCATTGTATCAAGGTACTCTGGGGTAAGAAGGAATGAATGAGCAGAATGGACTGCTTGTAGGGCCACAGTAGGAACAGAATAAGCAAAGATCAGGGTTCGTAGCCAAATTTATAAATCAATTTTAAGGCTTTTCAAGGTATTCTTAGTTTTTTTTCAAGTTTGTATCAGGGTAATACTGGCAAGATATTATTGCCTTGTTCAAGGGTGTACCAAGCACATAAGGTAGTTTATATGAGCCCACACATGTGGGTATACCAGCACAGATATAGTGTTTTAAATTTTTTTTTTTCTCTAGACTTGGTGGAAAAGGGGAGCAAATTAAAGTCATGTCTGTTCTAGACCTGGTACCTGAAAAGGAGTGGAGGGGAGTCATACAGAGAGGGAGGAAGACAGATGATGAGGTAAAGTGGGGGAGAGAGTGCAAAAGACAGAGAGGGAGACAGAGTGGGAAAAGAGTAACTGGTAGGTTGAGATGAACAGATGAGAAAAGGGGGAAGAAGAGAGAGACAGAGGGAAGGAGGAAAAAAGATGATAAAGAGAGGGAGGGAGAGAGAAGGGACATGCAGAGAAGGAGATGCAAGCAGAGAGATGAAGACCTAAACAAGAGGGAGAGACAGAGCATGATATAGAGAGGCAAACAGACAGAGGGAGAGAGACAGATAGAGAGAGAAAGGCAGAGCAACAGAAGAGAGGGAGGTGGACACAGAAAGAGAATAAGGCAGTGACAAACAGAGAGGTCAAATGCCAGGGGCGCTTACATATAAAACTGATTGAAAAAAAGAAAAAAAACTAATATCAACAGAGAACATCACAAGGGAAAAAAAAAACCCACCAGCCTGATTCTGAAACCCCGCTCCCTTCCCCAACCATAAGACAATTTCTTGTGCATTTGACACAGCTACTAGATAGAGAGAAGCCAAGGACATGAAGACTAGAGGAAAGTGAGACTGGATGAAGAGGAATGAGGAAGAAGCGAGGGGGCAGGAGAGATAGCGAGAGACCAGATTAAGGATAGAGAGGGAAGGGGAATGAAAGGAAGGAGGGAGGAAGGATAAGAGAGAGGTAGAAGTGTGAAAGATCCAAGAGAAATGGGGGGGGGGGGGGTGTTAGAGAAGAAGATATGGAGGGAGGGTGAGAGAACACATAGAGCCAAACAGATTGTAGAATAAGCTGTGCCAAAAATAGAACTGGAAAATCTAAGTGACATCACTTTTGCCAACTCCAACCCTCTCCCAAAAATACAACTGCTGTGTGAAAGACAGGCTGAATGTAAGAGGGGCCTGCATGCCCAATTTGTTTAAAATAATGGTCCAGAAACAAGTGCGCTGACCCCATCTTGTTTCATGTTTGGCTGTCTGTGTGTGGCTGCAACTGTTTGTTCCACTTCTTACACTCAAGGCTGGGTTGACCGAGGAGCCAAGGTCATTTTTGGAAACAAAAAGTCTAGCTTCGTCCGGACCTGAACCCATGACCTTCTGAACCACGGTCAAGCATCTAGCCACTACACCAAAATGGCTCCCATCATCACCTTAGTGGTGACAATAAAAGAGAATAAAACAGGAGAAGACAGAGGGAGGGCAACCCAGATAAATAAACATGTTAGAACAGCAAAAATAGAAAAGCTCCCAACCTTTCCATAGAATAACTTCATAAGGTTATCGAGGCCGAAAAAATAACCCCCCCCCCCCCCTCTTTTCCCCCTAGGACTCATGAGCAGCAGCTATCGCATCTCCTGCAGCTTCCTTCATTTTATTTGCTCGTGAGTCCTAGCCATCTAGTTTAGCCACAATCCATGCCACATGAGCGTCGTAGGGGACACTCGGCGGTGGCCAAAGTTGCCAGATGTTTGCAATTCAGCGGTGGTGTTATAGTCCCCGGATGTGCGCAACTGACACGTGACTGAGGCCCTGTTAGGGTAAATTTCCCGCCTCGATAATTTACGATCATTATTCGGAGAATAGCCCCCTTATGATATCGAAGACATTGCACATGGTAGTAGAAAGGTATGGCGGAACAGGCTGCAAGTCCTGTGTGACATATAGTAGCACAATAGGGCAACGATAATGATACTGATGTTTGCTTGCCAGTTCAGAGGTTTATGTGATTAAATCCCAACCAAGGTAGGGAACCTCCTTCAAACTGATCTGTGCTACCAGCCGAAAATAGGTAAGGAAATGTTCTAGGAAGAAAGAATGGCAACTAATGCTTATTTGCGGAGTAAAGGTTTATGTAACTGAAGCCAAGTCATCATAGGGATTCATTTAAAACTAAATTTCTCCCAGCCTTTGGTGCAGGACATTTCTGGGAGGAAAAGGTGGCAATGACCATCTACTGAGTACTAATTATTCTAGTGTTCTTTAACCTGCTGGGCCGCAGAAAAGACCAGGTCGGCTGCCAAATAATTCTGCTTCATTATGTAACGAGGCAGGGTATATGGTTTTTCTTTTCCAGTCTGTAAGATTACCACCTCAAGAACTTCTTACTTCTGTGACAAGATTTTCTTAGACATGTCAATAATTGAAGAAAAAAATTTGGCTATCCTCCGAATAAGGGGCACATATTATGGCGGCCAAAAACAGGGCCTCAATGACATGTAAATTGCGGACTTCCGGCGACTTAATTTGCAGACCTCCGTCGACTAAATGTGCGGACTTCCGGCGACTACCGCCACCGTCGAGAGTATCTCCCACGCCGCTACATGCGGTGTGGATTGGGGCTAAACTAGATGGCTGGGACTCAAGAGCAAAGCTGCAGGAGATGCAGACGTTGCTGCTCGTGAGTCCCAGCCATCTTGTTTAGCCCCAATCCGTGCCGCGCGTAGCGGCATGGGAGATACTCTCGGCAGTGGCGGTAGTCGCCAGAAGTGCGCAATTTAAGTCGCCAGAAGTCCGCAATTGACATATGACTGAGGCCCTGTTAGGGTGTTTTTGAGGCCGCTATAATATGTGCCCATTATTCGGGGGATAGCCAAAAATTTTTAAAAATTAAAACAGAATAGAGAAATTGAATGGATGTTGTTAATGTAGCACTTCCTTTATCAGAAACAATGCTCTAGCCACATATGTCAGATGTGGTAAGCTCTAAGCGCAGTATGTGTCGCATTAGCTGAATACTGTTAATTTTGTAACATTAGATTTAACAAATAAACTGCTAACTACATTTGGTTTGGTTTCATGCGTGGTTTGTTGTCAAGAAATTAATCCAGTGAACTGTGACTAAAAAGCTTAACAAAATGGGATAGAAGAACAGCGTGCACAAAACAACACAAGACAAATCAACGATTCGGCCAGAGCCTTTCTCGACAAAAACTGAACTTCAAAGCAATAACAAAGGAAAGAGTACTCCAACCACCATGGGGTCACAAGAGAAATACAACTGTTAATGATCCAGAGACAGAATAAAGTAATAATAAGAAATAAAATAAAAAAACATAACAATAATACAGTAAAAATAAAATAATGTGACAACATTAAAACTGTTTAGATGAAGTTATGCTGGACATTGATGCCCTTTGGACTAAGAGCACTTAGACTGTGTGGATGAGGAAATTTTCCAAAGCGAGGCGAGTGGTATGATGGCCAGAAGCGGACCACAAAAAAACATGTAGCCTGCATAAAATAAAATCAAAACAAAAAAACAAGAAATACAGAACACAATTTAAATTTACAACAGCGAGGAGGGAAAAACTACCATTGAAATGTTATGCATCAAATCAGAAAGAAATACAGTATACAAATTGCATGTTTACCTGCTTCAGACCTCTGCTTGACTTCCCTTTGGACTGAAAATGATACTTTTTTAGCATCGGCTACAGCAGCAGTTTTTGATGACTCTTCTTTGGCTTTTCTTTTCTTTTTTAGGAACTCTATCAGCTTGGGATCTATTGAACATCAAAATGTGTGGTTTAAATTTGAGGATTTCTCAGATGCAGACAAGCCATAGCTCATCTGGTAGTCAAACGAATAACTTGCATGATCTCTTTCAATTAGAAAAGTTGAGTCTACAGAGTAGATTAAATTAGACAAATATTAATATTTATAGAGAAAAACCAGAAATTAAAACAGAGTTGATAAATCGTATGTATACTTTACTATATGGTGAGGGAACATGGGAAACTAACAAGCAAAATATAAGAAGAAAATAAGGGAAAAAAAAGAAGAAGAGGAGGAGGAAAAAGAAGAAGAGGAGGCAGATGAAGCAGAAGATTTTCAACTCACCTAACATTTCAAGCAGCTTTTGTCGCTCCTCTAAAATATCTGTCTCAGACATGCCAGCCAGCTTCTGCACATTCTCGTCATGAATCTTCAATGATTCTGCCTGACTGTTGTGGATTCCCAGCCCAATGCCCTCAACTATATAAGATCCAGGTGTTGCTAGAAGTACAGAGAGAGAGACCTTTTATTTACTACATCCATGAAAACTGTTTCTAAACTTAAAATCCACAAAAGCAGTGGCCACAGATAACAAATTGCATGTGAACCAGTCTTTACAACTGAAAAATGAAAAATATCACAAATTTTGGCTTTATAATTAATAATAATGCTGACTTTAAAGGTGAAACCAGAAGGAGAATGGTCACTGTAATGTAAGGGTTCAACAGAATTAAAAGTCTCTGGCACAACAAATAAATCCTTCCTATAACCAAATTCTGAATATCAGTCATAGGCCATACTAGAAGAAATAAACTGGGATGTGCGAATGAAAATGTTATAAAACAAATTGAATGAATGAAGTTCAACCCCACCAGGACCGCACAAGAGTGATAAATGTGCGGATGAGAATCACATGGGTGCAAGTCCCAGATCCCCAGTCAACCGTTAGTTTACATTACAGCCCCGACAACAGACGGAGTGGGGTTTTAAAATAACTTTACCATACTCTATCCTTCAAATGTGCTTATAACCTGCAACTGCTGCTTCTCGATTTGTTTCCAAGACCAACAATGACGAGGGATGAAGTTCCTTACCTGAGCACAAAGCCTAGGGAGTGTGTGTGTGCTGTCCATCAAGATGATGATGACAAATCTTTTTCATCAAGTACGAGTACAAAGATGACTGATGGGGCCGATGCGGGCTGAAAAGTTCTTGGACAGTGAGGACAGAAAATGAGCGTTGTGCCAGGGAGGGGATCTCCTGCAGTCGCCTTTCTTTTCATCCTTTTCTTAATCAGTCTTGCTGTTCTGTTTGCTTTACATGTAGCCCCGCCCTTGTGTAGAGTTGCACGCCATACATTTCGGTCTTGAAAGGTAGCCTCCCAATTGGTGTCATTCATCCCAAATGCTTTGAGCGAGGACTTAAAGTGTCCGTAAAGCGTTTTGCAGCTCACCATAGAAGGCCTAGGGAGTACTGAAGAGACCATGGGTTGGTTGCCCCTGCAGCTTGTTCCCTCTCTCAGCCTATATTGTTTTTTTAATTTTAAAAGACTGAAAACACATGAAGCAATGGAATTGGCAAGGGCAGAAGTTGAGTTGAGTCAAGAACTGACATCACAGCACTCGGGGCATTCCCTTGTGTGTTCCGTCCTCATCTTCAGCAGCCAGTGCAGAGTTCTAATACCGATGGTACCGGTCACAATCTGGTTATATGTCTGTCTTGCCTTTTCTCTGAGTGTAGTGAACTGGTCAGACCATCTGGTTAACCCAGATGCCTCATTCTCTCCAGGCCAAATTAATCTTCTTTCTCTACTGATTGTGTTGCTTGTTCCCAAAAGGCCTTGACCACATATGCCTTGTCATGTATCAATTCACCACCCAGTGGTGCAGATCCAGCCAATCTGTCTGCATATTCATTACCCACTATGCCAGCATTGCCCTGGAGAACAGTATGCTCCCTATCCGTGACCTTACCGGTAAATCTTGCCACTCTGCTCGAAGCATCCCTGTCTTCACCTTTTTCAGCATGCTTTCAGAGTCTGTTTCAATTACGACATGTGTATGCATCTTGTTCTCTAGCCACAGGAGAGCTGCAATTACCGCCTCCAACTCCATTCTCATGCTAGATATTGTGGTGTTGTATGCTAGGCTGTAAGGGCAGGAGAGACTCTCCAGTGGGATGTGATAGGAGCTAAGATCTACAACAGACCTGCTAGACAGCAATGGTAATACACATTCTCACTGAGTTATCTTTGTTGGTCGACCAAACATCAAAGATTTTTAAAAATGTGTTAAGCATAAATTATTCACTACCTTGCTGAGGGTTGCCTACAACACCAGCTTGTGCTTCACCTCTGAATGCAGACACAGATCTCTGTGGAGCTGGTTCAACTCCAAACTGTAGTGAACTATGAGCTTCCACTTGCTGGGCAAACAAGCTTTTCTTCCTGATTTTTGTTGTTTCTGTTTTTGATCTATTGTTCTGTCCAAGAAGAGATAAATAAATACAAGCACATAAACAACTATGTGTCTGTAAGCAAACATGGATGGTCACTAACAGGAATGTTGATTGTTGAAATAAGAATCAACATCCCAGCACTCGGGACATCTTCAGCAGTAAGTATGACAGGGTGGTCTTTTATAATCCAGTCTCCTTAACATCTCAGAAAAAATAAGCTTATAAGAAGCTATGATTTAATGCAACAAATCTGTAATGATCTGCAATATGCATTATGAAAGTGACAGTGATGATCTGGCTGGAGACCACACACAAAAATGCCAAATCAACTGGATGTTCAACATTACACTTGAAAGCATCCTAGAAAAAGAAAAAGAATATAAAAAATGGGCTGGACAGAAACTATTCAAAAACAGACCAGATAAAATAGTGAAAACTAAAATGCTGGCACAGACAGACACACGCAGAAAAACCTATTAGTCATTAGTCGAGGTTTGAACATCACTGAAGACGGGTCACCCCATAACTGCCCTCTTCCTGTGCCAGTTGAAATCAACTGTCTCATCTGAACACTAGTGAGACACTTGTCAGTCCCAGTAAAATTTTGAAGTTTGCACACGCAAAGCAAAAATGCATAAGGCAGCTGCCAGATGTGCCAATACTAACAGCCTTACATCAGAATTGGAGTTCACTGTTGGTACAAACAGTCAATCATGAAAGCTGGTACTGTACTCCAAAAGTACACAACATTCTGAATATAACCGGCCACCCACCGTTTTAGTGCAGTCAACAACAAACCATGGCACAAAAGGAAAAAGATACATATAACAGCACAGCAGCAGTGATCTGGAGCCACAGTGATCTACGTTACAGGCAACAATCAGGCAAAATAGAGGAGTCAACAGTAAAGAATTGACACATTTGATCGTTTTACTCTACTTAAAGAGATAATGAAATCTTGTTATCTATTTGATGATGGCAATCTTACAACAATTTTAATGTTTTATGAATGATCGAACAAACAATACCTCTGTTGGTCGTTCTACATGGATGGCTTTTGGGAATCCTTGTTTTCCAAGAACTGGTGCCATGTACATTTCGTTTCTTGTGTCTCGTTCCTGGCACATACAAAATAACAAAACAAAATCATAAGGAACATATCAGGAAGATTTCCTGCCAGCTCCCATCGATGCCATGGCAGTTCCCATGGGCTGCTCTATGTTGTAGGGGTAGCAAGATATGCATTCCTTCATCTTAAGTCTATACATACTGTGCAGAAAAGTGGCTCCCAGTCGTTCAAGACCTGACACGAAAGTGTAGAGCTCTTTTATGGCAGGCGTACTGAGCGACAGGTGTGTGTGTGTGTGTGTGTGTGTGTGCGTGCGTGTGCATGTGAGTGATCAAATAGTTATCTTGTCTCTGTCAACAACGTCCCTTGTGCAATCGTCCCTGGTTTGAGAATTAGCATCCTTTTGGGGCTCTGGGTCAAGTCACCAAGTAAGGCCGCAGTGAAAGCAATGAAGTGTGAACGCACAACGCAAGTAACACATAGTGTTGGCTGCTCACAGTGTGGAAAATAAAATGTGCTGGCCATTTATAACACGGAATATAGAAAGCTTATAGTGTTGAAAATACCCAAACATGACACCCCAAGAACATTGGACAGCTTGTGGGAAATTTCAAGCCCGATGAGAGGGGATGATTTTCGTGACATGTAAGTAAAGATCCCTCTTTTTCACGCCTTTTTAGGCGCATCGGGCATATGGGAAGAGCACCCTTGTTATAACTGACCAATCGGCACTAGGTGGGTAATGTGGTCAGCATTACTCCGGCCGTCTTTGCTTCCCCAGGACATACATCCTGGTACCCATTTTAGGCTGGGTTGACCTGCGATGTCCCATACCACAATAAAAATCAACTAAGCCAGCAGTGGGTTTTGATCGCGGTACGCTGGAATTAGGAGTCGGATTCGCAACGTCTAAGCCACGGAGGCTGCTTCGTGATATGAACCAATGCTAAATCAAATCTGCTATGCATTTAATACTCTCATGTAGTTATTAAAGGTGCCTAAAAGTATAACTTACTTCAAGGCCATATAAGGTATCTTGGATTTGCCCTGTTTCCAACTAGAATTATTTTTTTTATTTTTTTAACGTTACATGGAGGTCAAACCTTCAGGTTTCTCCAGATGGAGAAAATCCCAGACCACTTCAGATCCAGATCAAATCTGCTCAATAGTTACAATTTTTGTTTCTGTACTTCTACTTATTATGCCATTCACAAAATAGAAGGAATTGTCAGGACTAATTACATAATGTAAATAAGACACATTAAGTTATCTAATAAAATATTTATCACAAGATGGTTTTTGTTGAAAAATTTAGGAAAGTCTATTATAGAAGACAGCACAATAACTAAAATTATTTTCAAAAGATGGCATAATATCTAAAGATGTTTAATAAAGGATGGCTAATAACTACAGTGTTACCTTGGAATTCAAACGCCTCAAAAACTTTTTAACAGTTTGGAATCCAAATGAATTTTTTCAAGTAAATTTTCCTTCAGATCTGGGTTAACCCCATGGAAACAGAATGCCTGGCACGTGCCGATCATGAGACTGAAGCGACAATGAAAGAGCTCATCAATGTGTCCAGAGTAGGGCTGTACCGAATATTCGCTTTGGGGCTGAATAGTGGACCTATTGAATATTCGGTATTCGGCCAAATAGTTACGGTCGGACCAAATACATGGCTTTAATACTGACAACATGGAACGATTGGTTTTGTTGAAAGCTAATGCAGCTTTCATGCATTAACTAAGCTGTGAGTAACAATTTCCAAGTTTAGTTACTTGTTATAAAACTTAGGATTCTTTCATTCCTATTTATTAGTTACCACAAACTGATTAAAGATGCAAAATGTTTTTAAATGTTTACTATTCTGTACGAATACTAACTAGACAAGTGGATAATATGAAAATCAAATGCTGAGAGAAGAAATACAATCTAGAATACAATCTGGAAATAAAGTAAACTATGTCCTTCAACATCTGCTAAAGTCAAAGTGTCTGTCTCGCAACACCAAGATCAAAAAATATAAAACCTTCATAAGAAAAGTCGTTTTATATGGCTCTGAAACTTGAAGCAGAAATAAAAGAGATGAGGCCTTATTACAGGTTTTCGAAAACAGTCTTACGTCAAATCTTTGGACCCATCAAAGATCCCAACAGCTGGGAATAGAGAGTGAGAAGCAACAACGTTACACATAATCTGTTTAAATCACCACTGATCACTGGCATCATGAAAGCTAACAGACTAAAATGGTTGATGCATATTGAAAGAATGTCAGATGACAGAGAAGTAAAACTGAATACACATGAGAGATAAATGGCGGAGACCACAAGGTAGACAAAAAAGAAGTTCAAGAGATAATGTCCAGCCAGACCTGCAAACAACTGGTGTCACAAATTGCGAAGATAAGGCCAGCCAGAGAGATGAATGGAGACGAGTGATATCTGCAGCAGTAAACCTCAATGGCTCACAGTGCTAAAGAAGAAGAAGACTATTCTGTGCTATTTTATGTGAGGTAAAAAAGTGCAGCGTACATTTGACATCATGAATGTGTGTGTGTGTTTTTTTAAAGATATATTTTATACACTATTTCGTATTCGGCTGAATAGTTGGTCCCATTATTCATATTCGGCCGAATAGTGAAAATCACTATTAGGAACAGCCCTAGTCCAGAGTGCTGTTAAGATAGTCCAACTCATAAAATAGGAGCTTTAGCACCTTCACCAGCAGCTGAAGGAAGAAACTACAGCAGAAAATTCTTTCAGGGAGGAAGAAGGGAAAGCTGGATGGATTAGCACCGCTGAAATTTAAGATCCTTCCATCATGTCTGTAAAATATTTTATAGTGAATATTAAAAACAAACAGCAAGAAAATCAAGTCTTGCCACTGTAGACAAATTATTAAACAAAATAAGTTATGCAGGTGACACAGTTTTGTTGCTGAAAGAGCAGGATCACAAGAAATAGTAAACCAAGTGGAAAAAACTAGTGACACTGGCTTAGATATAAAGACGCCAAAATAGTTATTTAAACCAAAAAAATATCAAGCTAATTAAGAAAATTACAGTGAGTTAAAGACACACAGAGACAAACCAAAAGGTTTTCTTGCCTAACAGATGATGGCATACAAATAATTGAGTGATATCTATTGTAAAAACTTACTATTATAGTTGTTAAAACTGCAGCCATGCCTCTGTCATGCCCTGAATGAATGATCAAATAGAAGATGATTAAAATGTGAGTGTACGGTGCTAAAACAAAAATAAACTGTAAAACAAGAGTAAAACACAGAATGTACTGGGATTTTCAGAGCGCAGTGATGTCAATATTTGATTCATTCATGATTTCTTGGGCTAGTATCTGCATGTCAACATTACAGGCACTCACTCAGATATAATGCCCAGGAAATGCAGGAGTGCAAGGAAATAAGCTGATTTTCTGACTACAAAAACGATAGCTACAGAAACACTCGTACTTGATATATCAGACATTATGAAGACTATTTATGAATTTATGCTGATAGAAGATACAAGGTTAGATGAAATAACATGTGTAGGAATGTTTGAATGAGGAATCAGGTGTTGATCGGGCAGGGAGGGATGTATGAGAGAAAGAGAACGATGCATTTATAATCAGTGCGCTATAGGAGACAGAGCACCTATGGGTATACCTGGAGTGCTATGATGTCTATTTTTAAATCAGTAATCAATGCGTAATCAGCTGGGCTATTAATGAAACTGCCTGATCATTCTATTCCACTGCTGTCTATCATTTTTGTGATGATGGTGTCCCTAGATTCAGACTGGACCTGCCTGGACTTGTTTCTAACTTCTTTCATGTTTTTAGGTGAATCAGAACACAATGATGTAAACCACACCCGCTGGAGTCGTTCAAATGTTTATTGCAGTTTTGCAGTTCCAACAACAATGGAGTCCAGTAGGTAGTCTCGTAACCTAGTCGACGTGAAACTGGCTGACACAAAGTATGGCAGAAAACATCATTTGTCAAGCACACATGTATTTACTTTACAGTCCAGACTTCTCATTTTAACGAATATACATGGAATCATCCGTAACATAGATTTGGCAACCACTCGTCTCTCTTCATGGATTCAACAGCTAGATTTCCATTAGATTTCATGAGGCAGGCGACATTAATTCCAAAGACAATTCTTCCACTCAGGAAATACTGACCTCTTCCATTCCTGTCCAAAAACCAACTGCTGTTATCTTTTTTGCCCTTCCAACCCTTTGTCCCCTTTGCACGAAGTGTGGGCTGGCAACTATTCACTCCCTATCGTTTATTTGGTGAAGCCCGTTTTCTCATTAGATAGTCACTCTGCTACGTCATAAGGGGGTTCCACGAGAATTCCCTCATTACAATCTTCAATTCCATGTTTACTGCACTGAACGATCTGCACATGCCTGATTTATAAATACAGTCAATGGTCTAAAAAAAAATATTTGTGCCATAATAAAGGTTAGCTGCAATATATCTACTGGTAACTATGAGACTATTACGCAGTGAGGCCCCAGTCTCTTCCATGGCACGACACATATATCACTGTCTGAAAGCCAAGAGACAGTCTTTTACTCAACCGTCCACAGCAGGAAATGAACCCTGGTAAACATTCAGGATTGCACTTTGAAATGATTTTGCTAACTTCTCAGCCCCAGAGCAGCACAATGGTCTACTCCTTTTATTGTCCAACACTAGAACCACTAAGGTCGATAAAGATGTTGGAGCTGATAGAGACATTAAAATACAAATACAAAAAGCAAGAGGTGTTTTCATAGCACTAGGAAATTTGTGGCAGTCAACAGAAATTAAAACTAATACTAAACTTAAGATTTTAAATCGGATGTAAAATCAGTACTGATGTATGGAGCGCAAACATGGAAAAAAACTAAAACAGTAACTATAAAACTACAAACATTCATAAACTAGTCCCTAGGCAAGGAATTGATTGGTATCATAGAATCACTCATGTTGAGCTATGGGAGAGAACTATTTTAAATTCCAGTGAATCAAGAGATGAAGTAAAGATGCTGGTGTGGGATTGGACACATGCTGGGAAAACTAGAGAATAATGTAACTAGATAGCCTTACACTGGAACCCACAGGAGCATAGAAATAAGGGCTGAACAAAAAAAAAACATGGCAACAGGGAAATAGAGAGTGAAGTTAAAAAGATGGAGAGAATATGAAATGAGATATGTGTGACAGAAAAAGACAGGTATTGCTATGAGGGCCTATGCTCCATGGGAGGATAAAAGGCAAGAAAAAAGAACTAAAATACTTACTGGAGGTATTTCCTTGTGTCTCAAGGAGATAATGATATACCAACTACATAAATGAAGATTTGCCAAGACGAAAGTAACTTTCTGCATGATGGAAAATGTATTCATCTGTAAGAGGTGTTAAATGCAGTGAGAAAAATGGTGTTAAAATGCTAACAGAACCAGTACTTTTGTTTGAAGTTTTAAGTTTGAATAACAGATCAAAATCATGGCACACGGGTAGTAACCCATAAATGCTCCGTTCTTTCTTCTAATTCAAGTCTGAGTCCAAAGAAGCTCAGCACAGTGCACAGGCTCTGCAGTACCAGCGGGGATCCTGAAATACTTCGGGTAGATTTTTTTAACTCCACATTTCTCGGGCAGCCCGTTAGATTACTCTTTTCGATTTCCAATTGCCAAGGGATTTATTACGTGCGCAACAATGCACACAGGTGTCCGATCTCACTACCCAGAGACCAGAGGAAATACTAGAAGTCCGTCCAGGTGAAAAAAATCCCAGCCCTTACTGGGGACTGAACCTGGAACCTCTAGCACTCAAAGCGAACACCATACCTCAAGACTACGCAGACCCCTATCAGTATTTTTGGATGAATGTGAAATGTGGATGATAGGCACACAAAGTGAGAAACATTTTGGTCAATCAACTAGGTGCATTACAAACAAAGTTTGAATAAGACCATGCCTAGATTATATTGGCAGACAAAGAATGAAATGGTTCAGCCATATAGTGAGAATTTAGCCAGGTGAAAAAGCATATGAGACTTTTTACAGCAGAACATCTTGAAGAAAAGTGAAGGGAAGACCAGGCAAGAGATGGATAAATGGTGTAGCTGAAACCAGCAAAAAAGATGAACAAATCCATCACCCTAGCCACCTGAAAAGCACAAGACAAATACAGAAAACCATGACACTGGGCCACAACCTGTTATCAGTAAGATAACAAAACAAAACAAAAAGAAAGAAAGAAGAAGAATTAGGTGCTGTCTTCACAATGAAGGCTGGCTGCAATGTATCTCCATGCCTTTCACGTATTTTAGTTGTATACTGCTGGTCTTCCAGCTCTTTATATTATCCTTCCACTGGTTTCCCTTTCTACCTCTTGCTTAAAGGCCTCTAACTTTTCTCTCCAAAAGGTGTTTTTTTTTAAAAGTATTATGTCTTAGTTGTGTTTGAAATATTTCATTTGTCTCCTGTCTTCTTTCAGCAATTTAATTGTTCATTCTCAGTCTTCAGAACCTCTGAATTTGATTGTTGTTGTTTCCATGAAATACAAAATATCCTTTTGTATATCAACTTCTTCAGTGATTCAAAATGACATTCTAACTGCTTCTCCAGAGATTCAATATGTTGTGCAAATGAAGAAAACAATGGGTACATAGTGAATGAACTAAAAACACACTAAAAAAAAAAAATCACACACATGTATAAGAAGAATATGCACACACACACAAGCGTCCCTCCCCCATTAAATAAAAAATTAAAAAAACTGCCACAATGACCTTTTGACAAATAAAGAACAGAACACACAACACTAACTGTCAAGAAGTTCCTCAATATCATCCACATCATCAGCTTTCAACAACGGCGGCTTTGCCTCCATTTGCTTCCGTTTTTCTAATTCTGTGTCGAGTTTAAATTTTGACTTTTTTGCTGGTATGGCTGGATGTGGCGTAACAGGAGATGCAGGTTCAATTCCTGAAATGCAGAAAGTAATCAGGGACAGATGAATGTAGAGCAGCTCAAAGAAAACCATGAGGAATATTCTATGCAACATATCTTTGTCAACTGAGTTATTAAGAGCTATAAAGAGCCAATCCTGATTTAGGGAAGTGAATCATGGAAAGAGCCAATTAGTGAAAAATTATGTGGAAGCCAGAGGTGTGGTTTTACAGATTTATGATGAGAACACCATGGATTTCATGGAGAGAACTGATAACCACCATCAGAAGTCTTTTCATCAGGAGAAAACTGGAGTACTTGATGATGATGACAAAGTGGGAGGGTAAGAGAAGCAGCAGAAGACCAGGAGAGAAGATTCTGGACAGTGTGACATCATGGCATGAAAGATTATCTGTGTCAGTCATAAATGAATGAACAAGAGACACAAGGATTTGACTTCCAATGCCCAATAGTATGGACTTTAAGAAAGAAGAATCACTGAACCACTTCTAATTTTTACAGTCTTTACCACTGCTGAACTTTAGATTCTATTTACCTAATCTGTTAGTGTCACCAAGCACTCAACATTCATGATTTGCAGAACAGTACTAAGATATAAAGAAAACAGGAAATGATGATACATAAAAAGTATCACAATTGGTCAGTAAAACATATTTATGGTGTATTTTCTTTAATGTGCTGACTGGTATATAGACCACAACAATGGTGTTTTCAAAGATAGGTGACTGGTATATAGACCACAATAATGGTGTTTTCAAAGATAGGTGACTGGTATATAGACCACAATAATGGTGTTTTCAAAGATAGGTGACTGGTATATAGACCACAATTATGGTGTTTTCGAAGATAGATGACTGGTATTTAGACCACACTTATGGTGTTTTCAAAGATAAGTGACTGGTATATAGAACATAATTATGGTGTTTTCAAAGATAAGTGACTGGTATATAGAACATAATTATGGTATTTTCAAAGATAAGTGACTGGTATAAAGCAAACCACTGTCATCTATTTTTCTTTTTTAATGACGACTATGGCATTGACCACAACTGTGGTGTTTCCAAAGTGTGATGAATGGGGTATAGATTGAAATTTTCCCTGCATGTGCTTGACAATGATCATACTGACACTTTATTTAAAACTATCTGTCATCTCATAACAGCTCTAAAATCACCCAAAGCAGCATAATAAGCGGTATATACATAGTTCACAATGGGACAGATTTGAAAATATATTAAATTCAGTGTTTTGGGTGTTGCAATAATCAAGCCACTTGAGTGCACATAAATTATCCACCTGAGAGACTAAAAACAAGAGATAAACAGAACTGTTAATGTTCCTATCACATACTATACCAAACAGCCAGTTAGCCAATTTACAATGGACATATTCATTTTATTAAATCATTCTACGGTTTGCTCACAAATAGTTACTGATAATATCACTAAGTTTATTATCGTGTTTGATTTATAAAAAGAAATCTATTAATTACTGATAAATGAATCCTCTAGACGCAACAAAGTCACTACATAAATGAAGCTGTGAAAAGTCCCACATTAAACTAGCCAGGAAAGCTGAGCTGGAAAACATGATAAAGAAGGTAAATTTATAAGCCAAACTGTGTAAATACCACAGCTATGCTGTAAACATACACAACACATATATGCCACTCAGACAAATGATAAAGCAGAAGATTATAGATGTATGACAATCTCTTAACTGTGATGATTTTTTCTATGGCAACAAATTCACTAATTAATGGTAACATGACAAACCAGGAGCCAAACATATTAGCTGGTAAATACATATTTTACTTCACTTTGATCACACAAATTCAATATTTCAATAAGTCATTTGTGGAGAAAATAAAAGTGTTAAATACAAACCTTCCATCTTGACAATATGTCTACCCTCCTCTTTTTCGGAGCCATCTGTTTTCCGTTTATCTGGCCGTTTAATCGTGACTGTTGGACGACCACCAGGAGCAGATGCTAGAAACTGTTCTTGAAGTTTCAGAAGGTCATCTTCATCTTCCCCAGGTTTTGGTCGGGTAAGTGTACTCATTGCCAATCAATGTCTGACTGATGTTAAGAAAGAATGAGTGATAAAGCAACCTATACTCTGTACTCATCAACTCTTTCTGTGATTACATTTTACTTTATCTATTACTTTATAACCAATCATAAAAGTTTTATTTTTTAAAAACAACAAGTTTGGATAAAAACAGATTGTGTTTATGAGGTGTAAAAACATAAGGAAGTAAACTATTAACCGTGATAGAATGATTTAATGCAACAACTATCTTGTAAAAGAAGAAAGTCTCAGGCTATGTTTGAACTAACCAATGAACTTATGTTATAGATTATGACGTCATTGAAGTTCCCTGGTACTAAATCAGTTGAGTTAATGAAATATTTAAACAGATTCTATGTCCATGCAGTCTGTGATTAAAATCTTTTAAAAGACTTGCATATCTTTAAAGTACTTTATATTTTTTCTTCAACACAGTGACATGGCAAAACAACAGCAAGAGCCTCCCCTGTCTTGCCTGTCAGTTCAAGTTCCAACTCCGAGCTGATGTCTGTAACTTTAGGAGTGGAATCTCGGATGGGAATCCATCCATCCATTTATGAAAAACAAAACCCTAAAAAATTTGACCATTTTTAACCTACTGTGGTTATAACTGATCTGGTTTCTTGGTGCCACTTATGTTGGCTAAGAAATGTTAATTGCACCAAAACTATGTCTTGGACTAGTACTCTAGTACCTAGTGAGAGTTGTTGGGGAGGGGGATGGTATGCACTATACACACACATATATAGACACGAACCCAGTTATATATACATAACATATATGTATGCATGCCCACGTGGGAATGCATGTACACGTGTCTGCACACACATATATGTGTGTGTATAAAAATATATATGCACACACACACATATACTCAAGGGAGCCGCTGTGGTGTAGCGGCGAGATGCTCACCTGTGGATCGGACGGCTATTGGTTAGATCCCGACAGAGCAGTTATTTTTTTTTTTAAATGACCATAGGTCCCAGTTTGACCCAGCTTCAAATGGGTACTAGTGCTGTAGATGATATACAACATAGTTTTGCCCATTTTGTATTATTTGCACCTTGGTTACTAGTTTAGGTCTTTGGTTTGTTGTGTGACACTTTCGAAATATCCACTAATATAAGGCAGTCTTGGCCAGTTTAGGTTGTTTCGCAAAATGTTATTCCTTCTCTTATATTTTTTACCTTCCTCAGTTCCTTTTTCTGACCTCACTGTCTCTGTCTTATGTTATTCCTTCTCTTTTATTTCTTACCTTCCTCAGTTCCTTTTTTTTTGACCTCAACGTCTCTGTCTTATCATATTTCTATCTTTAGAGACAAATATTTTTTATGTGTCCTGCAAATCCTGTGGGCGTCTGTGGCTTAGGTGTTGCGACCACGCCTCGTAATGCCGGGTATGATCCCAGCTGCGGGAATCGCATTGCTTTCGACAGTGGTATCGAGAAGCTGACAGTTCAGAAGCAATGGCAAACTACTGGACATAAATTTGCCTAGAAAAACCACAACAGCCAAAAATTGCTGGGGACACGTAACTAACTTTGTCCTGCAAATCAATCTCTATATTTGTTTTAATATGTTTCCATTACTATCAACATGTAAGCATTCCTTGGATGTCAATGACTTATTTAGTTTTTGAAAATAGTCTTCTTTGTGTGGTTTTCTTTCCTGTTTATAGGCTATATAGGATTATTCCATTATAGGGTTATTGTAGCAGGGTGTGGTCTTTGTGTTTTCCTGAAAGCAATCTAAGCATAAGGGTGCTGTAAATTTAGTTTTCCATAATCCAAGTCTTAACTCTATGAGTCCCAGGGAAGGCATCATGTGCTAAAATAACTGACCGGTTGTAAAACGTGGACCGCCCAATTTCAACTTCCTTCAGAGTTCTTTTTGTCTCATATCAAGCGTGCTCATTTAGAAACGGGGTTTGAAAGCCACAAATATAGTACATTTGCGAGATTCCCGAGTTACTAAGTATTTTTTTTTAAAGAATACGGCCGCCAAGCACTATTCTATGTGCATGCCAACGTGATTTAGGGCCTTAGAAGTCTAAAATTTAAATAAAGTATGTGTTTTTTTAGATTTATCCGAAGCTAGATAGATAACATTGCAAATTAGGCATGTTTCAGTCATTTATAGTCAAACTTTGATTAGGGATATGTCTAATGTGTACCTCACGCGAAGGGTACAGCAATAGCAAAGTCAGCTGGCACAAATAGAATAAACATTAGTGAAAAGACTATTTTCTTCAGTGTCAGTCAGTTCTGGTGCTATTCCCCTTATTATTTAGGAACATAGCTACAAAATTACAGGCAAACTGAGTGTTAGATTAACTTTGTTTTGCGTGAAGATACTTATTGACTTATTGTTTTGGGAGTCAAGTTTTCTTTACCAAATAATAATGCCCTGTTATGATGCTTGAAAAATTCTCTGGAACAAATTCTAATGTATAGATTGAGTTTATTTTTTACTTATACATTACTAAGTGGTTCATTTTCATTTGTGATTCAGGCTATCCTCCTAATAATGGTCCCAAATTATCGAGGCTGAAAATATACTCTAACAGGGCCTCAGTCACATGTCAATAGAATAGCCGTGATTCATTTTGGATATATTTTAACCAGTGCCATGGTGGTAAGTGGAAATTTTTTGGCTATCCTCCAAACAATGGGCACAAAAGTTGGCGGCCAAAAACAGGGCCTCAGTCACATGTCAATTGCGCACTTCCGGCGACCTAATTTGCAGTTTTTCGGCGACTACTGGCACCGCCGAGAGTATCCCCAATGTCGCTCACGCAGCATGGATTGGGGCTAAACTAGATGGCTAGGACTCACGAGCAAAGCTGCAGGAGATGCGGAAGCTGCTGCTCAGGAGTCCCAGCCATCTAGTTTATCTTCAATCCACGCTGCGTGAGTGGCGTGTGGGATACTCTCGGCGGTGGTAGTAGTCACCGGAAAACAGCAAATTAAGTCACAGGAATTGCGCAACTGATACGTGACTGAGGCTCTGTTAGGGTGTTTTTGCTGCCGCCATCTTTTGTGCCCGTTATTCGGAGGATAGCCAATTTTTTTTCTTTATTTAATAATTTTTGTAAACATACTGTCTATTTACTAATTTGTAATTACTAACTATTTATTGTAGCTCTATGTTAAAATTATTCCTCAACAATCCCTGGTCACTTTGATGTATATTGTATGTATATATGTTGCGCGGCAATTGACTTAGTAGTATTATATTTATATGGTCTGTTTAAACGTCTTACTACTCTTACACTTGTGAAATTAAAAAATTGCATTACATTACCACCCTTTGGGCCTCTGATGCTAAACCCCCTGGGACTCAAAGAGTTAATCTCCATAATAATTATGATAATGTTATTTGCTGGAATTGGTATTAATATTATTATTGTTATGTTGTCTGTTGTGAAGTTGTGTGTGACTCCAACTCAGTGCGGTTTTTCTCAAATATTCGCACGCCCTTCTTAGACTAGCACTAATTTCCCATTGTCTCTTCCCTATTCCTGTACACTTAGTGTACCTATTCGTTAAAGGGTAACACACCCTTCTAGTAATATTAACATTAATAGTCATTATTATCAGATACTCTACCTGCAAACTAAACCTTAGTAACTAAACTTCGGCTTCACACTTTTCTAAGGAAAAAAGTGATCTCGTTTATAATTATGTCCCTTATATGGGAGCATTCGTTGATTAAAATGAATGTGAAAGAGCATTTACCGTTCGCTTTTTTTTTTTTCTGATCTTCTTCATTGTTGACCGGCTATAAGATTCTCCGCAAAGTCCTGGTTCTCTGTTTATTTGGACTTTGGCTTTATGCCGGGGTCTGAGCTGGCTTATTTGTGCAGTTGGTGGTTCCTTGCCGCTCGTGCATCTGCACTCTGACTTTGAGGGAAGCTACAAATTTGTCTCCTACGACTTGCGCGAAACATTTTCACCATTTCGGGTCTATCAAAACCCAAAAAATATATTCCTTACGTCCTCCTTAGGACGTTATTTTTTGTTATTTGAAGCCCCACTCTGGCTTTTGCCAGGGGCCGCAATATAGGCAGGTCATCATTATGGCCAAATGTCTGAACGCGGTTTCTGGGACCTCTCCACGGTGATCCTCATCCGCATGGTGGCACTTTGTGTCATCGGGTGTTTATCGCTTGTGTGATGTCCTGGTGGGGTAAAAAGCCAATCCAGCCACCCAAAAACTGTTTTCAATATTTCTTTATTTATTTATTTATTATTTTTTTTTTTTTTTTTTGCAAAGTAAATATTCAAAGATTTAAAAACTATAAATGGTGGTCCAAAAGGACATTGTGTGAAAATAGCTCGCTCTCTTACAAGATACGACTGGACAAACTAGAAGGAGCATGAACCGAGAGGAAAACATCAGAAATATAAGGGCAGGAGGAACACAATAGGACACAGGGAAGGATCCAGCGGTCCGACTTTGAGGGAAGAAGAACTAAGCCAGGGAGATGGCGCAAATACCTGAACTTTAGCTTCTAAACTGGTGCAAATAAACCGGACCACAAATATAACCGGAGACTGTTGACAGCTTCTGCTAGCTAATAGCAGGTTGGAAATGGCCAAGTTTTTTTTTAAATAATTTTTTTATATAACCGAATGGAAGGGAACTCGCCTTCTTTCAGTCAATCGTGCCAGTTATCACCAACTTCTGGCGTCTATTCACTGCCTTGAAATATTCCTCCTGCATAAGAACAAAAAGAATGAAGCGATGACATTATTTTGTATTTGTCTTTCTTCCTACTTTATACAACATGCTCTGGTCTGACATTTTTATCTGCCCTCCAGTTCAATTTCAGAAACACATGGGGCAGTATAATCTTCCCTGTAGCCTTCGTGAGCTCATCTGTATAGGTCATAAGTTTCCATGTCTGTCGGCTCGATGCCACCTGTTTTAAGTCTTGGATGTTCGTTAGACCCATGGTTGAGCATTCCCTGTTGATGGTTCTACGCAGGG